AATCTTATATAAACATGTAGGGGCAGTTGTGTTAAACATGTAGGGGGAGTTGTGTTACTTAAGTACAGTAGAAGGATAATGAGAAAACTATATACTAAAAAATGGTAAGATTCCCATGATACTATTTACAGTAAGACATAAATGGGATTTTTCCTTTTAATACAAGTCATTCCCAGATGAAACAAAGTGCAAAGGACACAGGTTTTTCTATAGATTCAGACAAATGTTTCGAAGACCAATTTGTAAAGATGAAAGAGCCAGGGAGCAGCACTGCTCTGGCAGGGAAGCCAGGAGCTGAGGACAGCCCCGGGCAGGACCTCACCAGTAAAGCCACCACCCCAGAGCGGAGTGGGCAGAGTCAGCTGGTGAGTCATGGGCTGTGCGGCCAGTCCTGTGATTACCAGACAAATAAGAGGTGACAAAGCAAGCCCAAGGTCAATCTGGGAAGTCCAGTCAACAAGTCTGGACAAGCAAGGGCGAGGAGTGACCACAGTCCTTCCTAGCCCATCGCTCTGAGCTGAAGGGAGGCTCCTGGAGCCCCAGGCAGGGAGTGTGAGTGGAAATCCTAAGGTGAGGCTGGGCCAGGTACTTAAGACACGCTTGTGCTCTCTGACTCTGGCAGTAGGGAATAAACAGACATTTACACAGATTTCTCAAAGACACACGGACATAGATTAAATAGGAAAGAGTTGAAGACATCACTCTCACAACTATCCACTCTGCTCCTATGGCAGGATCACCAGCAGTCCTTGCAGCAGTTCCAGGACTAGCACACTGCAGCCTGCATCAGGATCAGCGTGCCTTCAGCTGCCACACCGATTCACAAGAAAATGGAATGCTCTTGCCTCAGGCATGACAACCACTAAAGCAGCAGAACAGACACCTACCAGAGAAGCTGTAACACCGTTAGCTATCCAGCCTTAATCCTCTGTCTCATATCTGCCAGAGCTAGCAGGAACCAGCTGCAACATGGTGAAGTAGTTCCTGGTGCCCTGACTGTTTGCTGCCACTCTCTTCAGGCGTCTTTACCCCCAGGCAGCAGACGGTGGAGCAGATGGAGCCACTTCCACACCAAGCCTGGCACCTCAGAGCAAGACACCTCTCAGCGCCGCTGCCCGAGCGGCTAACAGCAGCCGAGGCTGCACAGGGCTGTAACCGTGTACACAGGTGAAGTGTTTGGGGCTTCCATTTGCTAAGTGCCTAAGATCTAAGAATGTTTTTAACTCAAACCCTGTACGCTACATTTGATTGACATAACTTGGTTTTCCTTACTGTCACTTCAGCCCAGACGCCTTATTGCAAGAACACAAAACGGGCCAGTGGCTTCGGCTGCTGTCAGTGACTTCCAACCAGCTCCATGGCCCACTGCTTTTTAGAGTTAGTCTTTTTTTAACAACAATTTAAGAAATAAAAGCTATTTAAAACAAGCAGCATAAAAAGAAGTATCATTTGTTTCACATGATTATTATGTGCATACTAATGACAGGAAGACTACTGCAAATGTTTTCCAACTCTTAAAAAAAAAAAGAAGAATGCTTCCTTTGCAATATATAATTTTGAATTTTAATTTAGATAACTCAGATTATTTACTGGCAACAAAAATATGCATATTCATGAGTTCTGATTTATTATAATCTTTATTTCTGATGTTCTGCATCTGTGAATACTTGAACTACTTGAGTTTGCATTCATGGGCAATTATACAGGAATCTCAGAGTAGCAACAGATTGATTTATAGTTAAGAGTCTGTAGCACAGAAAGCCAATTCATTTTCTTTCACAAGGACTGTGGCAAGAGATTTGGGACTGATGCTTCCACCCTCATTTTTCAGCAAATTACTTCTTGTCTAATAGACTACAGATCAAGGTCATTGTAGTGAGGATCAAAACAGTGATTTATAAATGCATTCACTCTACTAATAGTTCGCTCAGGTTCAAAGAATAAAGTTAAATAGACAGCAAGTAGAAACCGAGAAGTTAGAATCTCCACAGGTGAATGGTGCTTTACAGAGGAAAAGCTAGACACACTATTTGGTCATTCCACCTTCACACCCAGGGGCTCCCTCAAGTTCCCTCATGCTGACTTCCAGTGAGCCTTCTAGAAATGCACACACTTACTATGGAAACCACATTTTTCTTAAAAATCTCTGCTTCTCTAAGCACACTTCTTCCTGGTTCTGCCTTTCTTGTCATTCATTCCAGCCTTCTGAAGTGGAAAGATTCTTCTAATGAAACAAGCTTTAATTAATTTCCAAAGGTAAGTCATAGGAAGAATGAAACGAACCCATAATAAATCTGTGCGAAATATAATGGGAGAAAGTAGAATGAATACAGCTTTTCATGCATATACTGAGTAAAGATGATTATCAAGCTCACTGATGCATGCAATAGTCCCTCTATTTTACACTCACACTCCTTCAAGTGAAGGAACACAACTGCAGAGGGTTCCCAAGAAAGCTCCTCCCTCATTTTCCTCTCCTTGTGTGACAATAGACCTCTAAATGCTGGTAATGACAGCCATTAACACAGAAAATGGGAGGATGTGCGAAGAGCTTTTAAAATCGAGTTTGGATCACCGTATTTAGAGCAACTGGGGCTAACTGTTACTTTGGCGAGCTTCTTGCCAGTATTTATCCAACGTTTGTAAACAGTAGAAACCCCACACATATAAACAATTTCTGCTGAACAAAATCATCTTATAACTAATCTTCATTTTCCACACAGTCTGCTTTAAGATGAAAGTAATTCCACAGCATTACTCCAAGACATACGAAATTAATGAAAACAACTGCAGTGTCGCATAGCTGTAAGGCAAAGACCTACCTCTGAGAGCAAATCACGATGCTGTTCGTTGGAGGTAGAAGGGACCAGAATTCATGCACACCACATCGTAGCTCGCTGTGGGGTGCAACTGTATTAGACATATCCGTGGCTTACAAAAGCATCCTGTTCTGAACAACTGCAGTATTATCTACCACATCTGTCAACTAAACTGCCTCATGTGAACAGATACATGACTTCTTTCTTGTTGTTTTATAAATATTATGATAAGTTTACCCTGAAGGGCTTTAAACTCATCTTGTCCTCTAGTCCTGGGAGATGTGATGAGCTCTGAGAACCATAAGGAAAATACAGTGCTGTAAGAGAGAGCAAAATACTGCCTGGTACAGGTGTTGGCTGCTTGCAATTTGCCACCACTTAAACTGCAATTCATCCTCCCTCCATTTTTAAAGAAAAGCGTAAAACACTTTAAAAATAACACAGCAAATTCAAAACAAGCAAGTTCATAAGCAGAAAATGTAGAGACAGGAAAATATCCCGTCTCAGAAGGCATAGGATGACTTTTTTGACTTGTACGTTCAGTTGTAGAGTATCAGCAGACCTAACTAAAAGGGGTGCCAGCAACACTGCTTAAAAGCTAAATAAACCATTCAGCCTTCCTTTTGGGAAGATTTCCAAATAAAAGACAAGCTGATAGACTTGTCTGTTGTTCAAAAAAGAATTCTCCTCAGTATAGTTATCACCCAGCCTGATCTGAAATATTGGGAATTCCATCAGGATTTTAATTCTTTCAAACCCTGTGGAGAATCCAAGAACTTCCTCCTGTCTGCAAGATGCATGTATCTTCAATATCTATATATTTAATAGTAAAAAAAGTTTAGAGATGCATATCACCTTATTTATTAGTCACATATCAACATAAATTTTCTTTGAGGAGTCAGATTAAATATTAGCGAAAAGGTTTGCCTTCCTAAAAACTTTGTATTACAGAATATGTCAGTTCATTCCTTAAGAATTTAAGCCTTTCAACAAACTCACAGTAATGATCACAACAGAGCTTCAAAGTTTTAGACAGAAGTAGAAATAACACCCTGGTTTAGGAAAGCGGGTGCTTAAGCATCTTTGACCCATTCGAGAGACATAGTTTCCATTACAGGTCAACAAAATACCTCCATCGACTATTTATCAGCATTTATAAGAGACTGGTATTCACTTTTGATAAAATAACAGATAATGGAAAATAATTAAATAAATCAGTCAGTCGTGGGCCTTCAGCATCCTCTGAACATAAGATCTCTATAGTAAGCAACTTCCTTTACTTGCTAAAGTCAGTTTGTAAGTGAAGTATTTTCTGCTTCTGGAACAGTATTAAGCGCTGTTATAAGTGCTTTTCCAACAAGACCGTATCTTTTCCAGAGCTTGTAGCATAACTACTTACCTCAAACAAACGAACAAGTTTATACACAGCCTGGCCCGCTACCTACAACAAACTAGAATCAACTTTCACCGGCAATACATTCACCTTAACAGAATGCTGAGTAACTCCTGCCAGTTTTCTGAGCAGAAGGAATATTTGTCGTTTCACTCAACCAAATGCACACCGCCAAGGGAGAGGAAGGCAGGTGTGCTTGTAAATGGCCAAACACAGCTGGCCAACTCAGGTAGTGCTAAGCAAGAGATTGATCAGGTCCTTCTGTTAGTTTTCACCTTCCATGAATACAGAAAAATATTTCTGATGGACTGGTAAATACTAAAAATAAAATTGTAAGAATCCTTACTGATCCATATCTAGGAGATCTCAGCCCTGGAGGCAGCAGGAGCAGTCACACCGCTACCTCCCGCCAGACCTCAGCTCCTCGGACCCGAAAACCCACCCGGGAGCGGGAACACGAGCCCACAGCCGCTCCCGGGCGGTGGGCGCTCCGCCTCCCTCCGGGCGGGCGGCGGCGAGGCCGGACCTCACCGTGGCCGTTGCCACAGGGAGACACGCGACGCGGCCCGGGGGCTCGGCGGGGACTGCGGGGGGCTCGGTGCCCGCCCGGGGGCGAAGGGACGCGGGGACCCCCGGCCGCCCTCAGAGCTCGGCGAGAGACTGCGTGGGGACGCTGCCAGCGGGGGGCGCCGCGGTGCCCGCCCTGCCCGTCTCCTAGCGACAGGGCTCCGCCCCGTCCCGCCATCCGCGACCCGTGACTGGTCTGCTTGGCCGTCTATCACCCCGGAGCCCTGCCCCCGGCCGGGCGGTGGCTGTACGGCGTCCCGCCGGCCGCCGCGGCGACCGGGCAGCGCGTCGCAGTGACCCCGCGGCGCTCGTGCCGTTGTGGGGCGCGCCCCACAAGGGACGGGAGCGGGGCGACCAGGCAAAGGTAAGAGCGGGCGGTCGTGCCCGGCCCCGCTGGCGGAGGCCCTGGGGCGGCGGCCCTGAGGCGGCGGCCCTGAGGCGGCGGCGGGCAGGCCCGGGCATGTCCCGGCCGGCCTTGGCTGTGGAGGCCTCGGGGCCGCGCCTGGCGCGGCGGCGGCCCCCGGCTGAGGCGGGCGGTGTAACTCTGAAGTTTGGGATAAAAAACACCGTGAGTGTGAGTGCACCCGCGGGCTGACGGCTGCCCGGCCGGCCCAGGCCCAGCTCGCTCGCTCCGCGGGGAGCCGCGCTGTTTGCTGCAGCCCCTCCGAGTGTTCCACGCATGTTGGTACTTGGTTAAAAGTACTTAGACTTAGTTCACATACCTACAGAGGAAGGAAAGTTTCTGTCTTTATTTTAGAGACGATAGCTTTGTAAGTTTTCCCCCCTTCAGTTGTCTAATACTCTCGCATTTGTTTCTTGTTACAGATGATTGAAACCCTTGTAACTACTGACGCTCAGGAACTGTTGTACCAGCTCACAGCCTTGTTGGAACAGGAGTTGAGATGCCAGCCAAAGGTCTCTGGCCTGAGACTAATTGAATGTGCTCATGATAATGGCCTCCGAATGACTGCAAGGCTGCGAGACTTTGAAGTGAAAGATCTTCTCAGCTTAACTCAATTCTTTGGCTTCCATACAGAGACGTTTTCACTAGCTGTGAATTTCTTGGATAGATTTTTGTCAAAAATGAAGGTAAGGCTTTTTAAAATTTATGTTCCCGCTTATCAGCTTCTGTTCATTGCAACCTTGTTCCTGTTATAAGTTAGCACATCTTGGCTTTACATGGCTAAAGGTTAAGCTCCTTCCAGAGATTCTGATTGTGCAAGAGCTGAAAAATGGCTTTTGCTGTTCAGATTTTGATACTGTTGAGGAAGGCATTTTCTCTGGAGAAGGAGGGCATCAGTTGTCACTTGTGGATACCCACAGGCTTGGAAATGGAGGCTGTATTAATGGATTAGGTCAGGACAAATTGTCGTGCCTGTTGCAAGAACATGTTAAATTACTATGTACTTTATTGCTGTTTCAACCTGCCCATAAACGTCATGTATATCAAGAAGCTTGATGCTGCTCAGCACTCAGAATCTGGAAAAACATTCAGTTGTCTCTCCACTCTACCGTGCATATGTGGCATGCTGACCTGGGTTGTTTCTAATAGTCTAATGAGACAGGATTACCACTGTGCTATTTGGTCTAGAACAAAAGCTTGTTTTCCTTGTGTGTTTAAACAAAAATGAGAAAGCTAGATGGGGCGGATAGAAAAATGATGATTTGAAAGGCTTCTGAATCCAACATACACAGTAAAGATAACTATAATGCCTACGGAATAAAATCAGATAGTTTTTATATATATATATATATATATGTACATATATAGAGAGAAAAGAGTAAAAACAAGGGCTTTTCTTTGCGTGAGTCAAAACGTACAACACTTTATGTCCTAGAAGTTTGATTGGACTGTTGTGGAACCTTAGTAAGAAACCACTTCTACCTCAGTCAAAATATATTGTTCCTCAACCTTGCTTTTTAGATCATTGAGACAGAACCTCTAGTGTGTAATGGTCTTCTCAATTAAATAAAGATAAAAATGTAAGTAGATAAAAGACTGATTTATTGATCTTAAGAAAACAGAACCACCCTCCCCATCCACCATACTTTTTTCCTCAATTACACTGGTGCCTATGTAATTTGGTACTTGCATGTTGAAATGGCAAATCAAAGGCTGCCTTCTTTGTAAATCACAAGAATTTACTTTTCTTTAGGTACAGCCTAAACACTTGGGCTGTGTTGGACTCAGCTGCTTTTACTTGGCTGTGAAGGCATCAGAAGAAGAGCGAAATGTTCCCTTAGCCACTGACTTAATTCGAATAAGTCAGTACAGGTTCACTGTTTCTGATATGATGAGAATGGAGAAAATCGTATTGGAGAAGCTGTCTTGGAAAGTCAAAGCTACAACAGCCTTCCAATTTCTACAACTGTATCATTCGCTCATTCATGAGAATTTAAGCTGTGAAAGGTAAAATACCTAATACTTGTTTTGTTATGACTGCATACAATCAGGAAGCCTATGTAGAAAAGCAAGCAGGGGAATTACTCGAGTAATTGGTCTTTTTATACTTAAAAAACCCACAAACTTTCCCCTTTATTGGTAAATAACATACATGTGAATATCTGTGGTTTAATATTATTAGAATTGTAAATATTGTTTGCATAAGTGGATCTGAAGAGTATTGCTCTCTGAGCCAAAACCCAAACTTGCTAAATAATGATGATACAATAAATCTCTGCTTACGGGGCACTAAGTATTGCATCATTGCAAAGATTTCAAAATCTGGCTTAGAAAGAGATTCCTTTTGCTAGTAAGTGCAATAAGCTCTTGTTGGTAAGCCTGTTTTGACAATGCAACTCCCCCCAACGTAACACAAGATTTATTTTTGGCGTTACAACTGCCAAAACTGAACAGCTGTTTGACTGTAACCCTAGAACTTCTGAAACAAATGAGGCCTTTGTTTAGATAGCGAATATCCTTGCTGCTTCTCTGAGTTCCCAGGGTTGTGCTGCCTTGATCGAGCTTGTGTTCTTCCACATTCACTAGTCTGTTTTTACTATAGGAGAAAACACCTTAATTTTGAGAGACTTGAGACGCAGCTGAAGGCATGTCACTGCAGAATCATGTTTTCTAAAGCCAAGGTAAACGTCTTGAAAGTTCAGAGACAGACTACTGAAACTTAACAAAGCAGTGTTTAAAAACGTGTTCTCTCTCTGCAGCCTTCAGTCTTGGCACTATCTATTATGGCACTAGAGATAGAAGAACAAAAACTGCTGGAGTTGACAGAGGCATTGGAATTTCTGCAGTTGCATTCCAAGGTATGTATAGATTAAGTTTCAGGGGAGGAAGGAAGAAAAATGCATGCAAGGGGCTACATAGTGGCGAAGGGGGAAGTCCATTGGCACACTGGTTTCTTTTGTGGCTTTGGGTACATTTTTTTTCCATTTGGCTTGGGATCTTTGGCTTCCTATTCTGTGTGAAGAATCTGGAATTACATGTATGAGATAAAGTTTTAATGGGTCATTAATATGTGAGATTGTGTCTTGCTATTTAGATAAACAGCAGGGATCTGACCTTCTGGAAGGAACTGGTGTTGAAGTGCCTTACAGAATATTCCTCGAGCAAGTGTTCCAAACCAAACGTTCAGAAGCTAAAATGGATTGTGTCTGGACGTACAGCGCGGCAGCTGAAACATAGCTACTACAGAATAACACACCTTCCTACAATTCCAGAGACCAGTGCATAATAGGTAACTCCTTGTAAAATCAACTTCTGATAATGTAGAATTACTTAGCTGTTAACTACCTCAAAGTTTCTTATTCCATATGGGTAACCCCTTCAAGACATGTAACATAAGCATAATGGGCCGGTCACAGAGGGTGGTCTATTCTCAAGTTCATGCTTGAGCCAGTGCTGCACCTAAAGAAGTGGCAACCTCATATATGACTGTTGGAGAACGAACTGTTTCTCTGGTGTGCTCTGAGAGCAGAAATGTCTTCCACAGACGTTGGAATCTCATTCCAACTAAAACGTGGAGTAAAACTGCTAAAAAGACAGAGGAAAAACTTGGCTTGCTCCTATCCTAAGAACCAGATAAAAGGAATAGTTGCCTTTTAAAATGTGTTTCCTGTATTTGTTCACATAACCACTTAAACAGGTTTATACAGTTGTATAACTGTCTAGTAAATTCTAAAAACTGTTATTAAGTTTTTCATACTACTGTAGTATTGTACTCTGTAGAAGTTGTGAACTACTTCCTTACCTAGACTTTAATTCCAAAGGCTGTGTATTTTCTATAACAGCTGTCTTGCTCTTCTCTTGCTTTATTAAAGTCTAATGCTTTATTTAGCGCTCATAGAAAGCCCTGCAGTTGACTGCTTTGGTTTTGCTTTTTTTTTTTTTTTAATAGGACTACAGTAAAGTGGAGAGAACCATCCTGTGACCCTCTCAACAGACAAAGGAATATTTGAGAAAGTCTGAAACATGTTCTTAATAATGAAGAGCTTAACTTGTAGAAAGAATTTGTAACACTTCAGACTGAAGATCCTTCCAGCAAATATGTTCTTTTCATGATGATTACAATATTCAGTGTCAGTTTTCAGTCTTTTTTGTTAGACTGCTTACTGTTCAGTGAAATATCATAATACTGATACAAAAAATTTTAACACTGTGTAGAGCGGTGTGTGTAGTCTAACGTTGGTTTACTGTAACTGCAGGTGCTGAATTACATACTTAATTTTGAAGATCTGGTTCACTTTCCAAAGATGATGTGACACTATGAAAAGATCATGTGCTGTAGCATAGTGCTGCAGTGTCTCAAACTAAAGACTAATCCCACTTACTACTGATGACAATAGCAAGTGCCTGTCAGTCCACCTGACACGCTGTTTGAGCAGTGTCCCGTGTCTACATGTTCCTGCTGGGCAGGGCGTTGGCCTTCTACCACAGGCATCTTAAAAACTAAGCTATGTGATACCCACAGAACAAGTCAGCTGGAGGAGGAGCAAAGAGCAACCTTACTTTGTTGCCTTATAAAAGGTAGTCACAGCGTCAGGAACTTCAGTATTATTTCAGAGTGTAAAAACTTAGTAATAACTAAAGAAGGCTGAGGGAAGTACTGAGTCACCTGCTCCAAGTGTGACCGGTTTTCCAAAGTTTCACTGGACCAGGGGTAAAAGCTGATGCTGAGCAGGTACATCTTTAAAGGCAGTGTAGGAGCAGGGCTAATGCCCCATCAGGGCCTTTATGTAGGAACAATCTAGTTGAGAAATGCTGAAGATTGCTTCAACTGTGATCTCTTTAATGGTAAGCTTTGTAAAATACAACTTCTTTTTCTGAAGACCAGATCAGTACTTGAGGCATATTGTGCTTCTGGTGCTAAGGAGGAAGTGAATAATAAGAATGGGGTTTTGTATGTAAGATGAATAAAGATGTTGGGGGAATGTTGCTGATGACCTCTTGAATTCCGCTTCACTGTGGAGCAGAGGCTGTTCGTAACCAACTGCCATCTGGGTGAAGGGGAGAGCAGAATGTTCTGGACAGAGCCGGGGCCTAAATGGCAGCCAACCCACCCTTTCCCCTTAATAGTAATAGCTGGGGGGGAAGCCATTCTTTGCATATCTCGAACTGGTTAAACCTTTCACAGAAGAATTCATACCAAAGCTCTATACTGGACAAATCAAGCCTTCTCATGAACTCATGGGAGTGATTGCACCGTGTAACGTGTAATTGGTTTTGCATCTGCCACTATGACCTGTGTGTGGTGCTGGCCTGGGAAAAGCATACACGTGATTCGCACATCGGCCTGGTCAGCCTGCTGGGAGACAGGGAGCAGACGCACTGTGCAATTACAACTGTCATGTCTCAAGATACGTACCTTTCAATTAAACACTGAAATGTGCTTAACTGAGTAATGTTTTTTTTCTGTTTGTTATAAAACATATGGTAGGAAGCATATAAAGTGAGTTACAGCTGAACAGTACCTTGAAATCTTCCAGGCAGTAGGTAAGAGATTATGGAAATTTTCTCAAGTTCTGTTTCAGGTTTGTTTTTTAAGAGGTTGAAGCTGCATGGGAGAAACTAGAGAACCAACAGGAAAAACTCAAAGTGCTTGATGCAAATTATTTCACTTTGGCCCACCCTGACTTGCAATCTTTGGAGATGTGAAAGGGTCAAGATTGAAAAGACTGACTAATGTAGACTGTTCAAATTTGACTTCAACCCTCGTACGTTATTTACCTAATAGAACATATTACTGTTTTTATACATTGCAGTAAATACAGGAATGGTGCTTGCTTAAGAGAATCTGGCACTGAGATAACTAAGCCTGAGATTTGAGTTTCTCCACTAATCTGAGAATCTCAGTTTGGCTAAGTGTAAGTTTAGCTATACATTTCTGCTCCTGAGTCAGAGCAGCTCTGGTCCTTTGAAGAAAGAGAGCAGTGCTATCCCATTAGTCTGAGCTGATCTTGAACCAGGTGCATGAAAAATGCCAGTAGACTCTCCTCTGCTCATTTGTGTAGCAGAGCAGCACTGAATGAGTGCCCAGGATTATTTCCGACAGCATGGATTGCTCTGGCTACTGTATCACATACCCAGATTTCTGCATCTGTCAAATACCTGTTACAGTGAGGGGCTGAATTCCAGTGAGACTTGTGGGATGTAACACAAACCATTATTTACTAAAGTATAACCAGAGCACTGAGTAGACGCTAATTAAAGAAAGGCGTAGCATGAGTATTCTCAGGTTCATCCTGATTCTTCCCAAATTGGAGGTCTGTAACTTACGCTAGATGACAGAAGTAGCTAACCAAGTAGTTCAATCCTTTTCTCTTACAATTTAGAGTTGTGATGCCTGAATTCATACTTCACAGTTGTCCTCTTTCCCTGACATCAGCCTTGAACTTAGCTGTAGCATGACTCTCAAGCTACTACATAAAGCAGAAGATACAGGAATAAAGTGCATGTAGTAACTACGTTTGTGCACTGAACTGTCAGATGCCATTCTGAACTTCTGGTATAAGCAAAAAGACATACAAAACTGTCCAGTGCAAACTAACTGCTGTAGCAGAAAATAACATTTCACTGGCTAGTACTTCAGCACTTTGATACATTAACTGTTTTCAATTTTCCTCTGTTTTCAGTAACTTTTGCAGCAGTCCTGTTCATTTCTTAACTATACTGTCGATTTTCCATACTAGGATCATGGTAAAGGTACAAAACTTCATAGCCATAGATGAGCGTTGGATATCACACTACTTTCCTTTGTACAGTAAGGCAAGTTCTCCAAAACCCAAGCGGAGTGTATGGGTTTACTTGACATTCTGTAAAGATGACAGGGGTCAAAGGAGCACACTTCATTGTTTCAGGAGTAGTGACGCTTGCTTTTTGTACATCAAGAAAGCAGTGGATATAATTACAATGAAAGCATTTTTCCTCACCTGTGGCTTTATTTTTGCCATATGCCAACAGAAACAATAATACAATTTTAGAAATAAAGCTCAGCAGTATGATGGACAGCTGCTGGCAAACTATCACCAGGGAGACTTCTGCTTAGGATTTACGTATAGGAGTAGTTTCAGTGTTCTAAACACAGTAGGATTTGGCAATGACATTTTCTTCCTCTGTTAGTCTGCCACAGTTTTCATCCTGTATAATGTTGTAGTTGGACTGCTGCTCAGCTGCATCCTTAACAATGAGTAGAAAAATCCTGATACATAATTGGCACATGCAAAATATTACATCATGAAACAGCTACGTTTAAAACGTGGCTATTAAATTAAAACCATCTCCAGAAATCTACAGTTTCTTAATTACATTATCAACAAATTGTGCTAGATGTTGGTAATGAATAGAAGCAAGATACCATTTTCTAATTAGGGACATCCTCTCAAAAGTCATTATATTCTCTTACTTTCAGAATCTCAAATATTTACACCGAAAGGCTGTATTACATGAACACATAAAATTGTTTCTAATCAGACTTTCACCTGACCTTTCAATTTTGTAGTACTGCTTACGTGGTAGCAAGTATTAATCATCAGTGCTACACTTGACAGCACAGTGGATTGTAAAACCTCTGAGGCAAGATGCAGTGGTTTCTTCATTTAGATTACTTCTTTAGAATGACAGGTATGAACTCTCTGAGGGCTGCTACAGAAGGAAAAGGTAACTGTAGCCATCCTAATATCCTTCCCATCGCAAATTAAGAGAAAATATTAACTACCTTGCTTATAACAGCTAATCCTCAAGGGTGAATAAGATATTCTTGCATGAAGATGAGTGGTATATTTGTTACTGACTAGTTTACTATGGTGTTTCTAAAAAAACAAAACAAATACTCTGCTTAAAGACGGTACTTTGTGTACATTGTTCTCTATACTTTGTCCTGTAGTATTAGAAAGTTATCGCAGCTTATAAATCAGCTGGTAACACTTTGTCTTCATTCTACTGAAAGAGATCTTCTTTACTGAAGTAATTACTTGAGGACAATCTGCTGAAGAGATCACTGATGTCTTCACAAGTTACATGATTCCAGTTCTTAAAAGTGTGATGTGTAATTCCTCTCAAGGAACACAGATAAAACCAGTTTACTTCTCAAGACTAGAAAAGTCTGGTCCTCCTTTGCTGTAATTTCCAGAAATTTCTGCCCCACTGAAGTCAAATCCAGGGTTCTGATGGAAATGAGAAAAAAGTTTAAGATACATCATTCATAATAAAAATGTTTAACCCCCCCGCACACAAACAAACAACAAACAAAAGCCCCAAACTGTTTCTATTAACATTCTGCCATTGTCACAAGGACATATAATGATCAACTTGTCATCCATTTGTCATGGCACTGAAATTCTTGGAAAGTGCATCAACAATTAAACTTTGAGTTGTCATAGTTTGCCCACTGCTGAAGTGACTTTGTAGTGCTGTTCTCATTTTGGCACTTACATCTCCCAGTGAAGAAATATTAAGGAAAGTGTAAGAAAAATTCCTGGCTTCCAGTGTCCCTTAAAATTACTATTTGAAAATGTAAGTACCTGCCATGCTGGATAACATGTTTCATAAAAATTACGTTCTTTGTTGCAGTATGTTGTGTGCTGATTCAGCTGTTAAGTAGTAAGTTGTAATGCTACAACTCTGCAGGTGTGCATAGGAATAGTTGAATACTAAAGGTGTACCAAAGCAATTCAAACAATTTTAGGAAAAGGGGAAGGAAAATATTTTCCAGCTAACTATTTTACATGATCTGATGCTACAAATGTATTCAACAGAGCTTGCTGTTAGAAGTTTGTTGTAAATATGGCTGTCATAACTCTAGATAAAAATAGAAATTGTCTAGCCTCAGTGTAAAGTTGTTACTATTATGCAACAAACCCTAAACCAGCAATAACCCCCCAAACTCATCTTAACTTTTCCCAAAATCTTCAGACAGACCACAGAGAGAATCACCTCTTGAAAGTACAATGATAAAGCCTCGTGAACATTCTATATATATCGAACAGTATATGTTTCCATGGCAGTGGACAGCAGAACAATTTTGCTCAGCTTCCATGGCCACTACCCCTGTGTGCAAACACAAAAAACAGAGTAATTACGGTCCTTTAACTTGCCTCTCTTTGGAATCGCTCCAGTGTAAGTTTCCTTTGCATCTGGTCCTGTACCCAAGGATCAGCAGCATATTCATTTTCTAACAGAGACGTCCAGCAATTTCCAGCATCTCGATTTGTCTTCATTAGAACAATTCGAATCAGCTTCCTGTCTTCTGTTGAATGAAAACAGACACAAAAAATAACCACTAAACTCAGTCCCATGTGCCAGTCTTTCCTGATGTTTTGGTGAATTCACCACTAACAAGCATAGGAATTTTTTTGGTGAAATAATTCAAATTCTCAATGCCAATGCCAACCTGGTTATTCATAAATAAACAGGCATTAACAAGAAACAGGCTGAAGCAAAGATAGCCTCTACAGCCATCTCTCCCCTTTATGGCCTGTAAAATGCTGAAGCTGTTTTAAGGGATTGAAACACAGTTCATAAATACTTCTATGGCAAACAAACTAACCCTTTAGAGAGGATCACAAGAGAGAAAAGATTTAATCTATTAGTATGTACAGCTCAGCTAAGGCAATTGGGAAGGATTTGAGGTCAGGCTTTACAGATCATTATTGCCACTAAAAGCCACAACTAAGTTTTAGCGACATAAGGAATTATAATCAATTTATTTAACCACTAACTGCATGCCTATAGACAATATACTGGAAGTGCATTTCAAAGTTAACAAATGGGATGTTTAGTTCTACTTAATTGAATAAATACAGCATCGTAAAGTGTAGTTTGAAGATCATTTGCATAGTGGAAAAGAGTAGGCTTCACTTCACAAGGTTTGTTTACACTTCTAGTTTTCATGATTACATTACTAAATTATTAGACAATATATCGAATAAATATTGAACGCAAAACAAAATCCATCACAGGAAAACACTAAGTGAGAGGCACAGCCCACAAATATGAGTGCCAAAACTCAATATATTCTGAACAGTTTACAGTATTTATGATGCAATGATCAGAGCAGGTTTTTTTTGCTCATTATCTGCAGGTACCTTAGCGTGCTTTTTAGGTTTCTCTTTGATTCTCTCAGACCATAGGTTTTGTCACCCATCCCAAAAATATAAGGCATACAGTGTCAACTATCCCCAAAACATAATGCATAAGGGGAAAAAAACAAGAAAAGTAACAATTACAGAGAAGCACAGACCACATAACTGTAATTGTCTAGATTTAATGAAGGTTTGCAACAAACTTCTTACTATATGGAAGTGTTGGTAATTCACTGACTACCATCTTCCAGGATACAGCATTTTTCCGTTAACCTTAATCTCTAGGGTTTTTGTAGTACCTCAGTTCCTTAGACAATAATGATTGTCTTTTTTACAAAACTATACACAGGAAAGAAAGTAATGTTTCCCATTAAAACATGGGGCTACACGCTTCTGCAGCATATTTTGAGAAGTTCTAATGCCCTCGTAATGTCATTTCAGGTGGAGGTTATTACCTAATGTCCATGTTCCTTCATCAGTTATTGTAGAGTCAAAAAGTTTACCCTGCAAAAGACACGTACAATATTACAAAACAGAAAAACCTGTTCAGTATCCAGTTTTTACTGAATTTTGAAGTTTTACTCCCAACTTACCTTCCTGTTTTCTACTGAAAATGAATAGGGCAACCTCGCCCTCCAAGTATAAATTTGCACATAAACTATCAAAAAATTATTTCTTGTTACAACATTTTTTTGTAAATGAAGCATTTGATACAGTAAAAATAGCTGTCATTGTTTCACTGTCCCAAATCTCATTGAAAGGGCTGTTATTTTTCAGAGGCTAATGCTGTTTTTTAATAGACTTATCACGAAAATGCCTGTGTATTTGTCAAGGGTAATGCACAGCTATGGTGCCACGTGTGTATATTATGCTACTAAGAATTATTCGTTGACAGTGTGAAAGTAAATCTGCTTCTGATCTGTTTTTTGGCTTTCAGCAGAGAGCTAAGCTATGCACTAAACACCGCCCAAATCACTGCGAAAAAAGAACGCAACTCCACGTGAATTTGTGGTCTTGATTTTTCCTATCCTCTTTCAAGGACCGTGCACTTGGACAGATCTGTTTCTAACAAATTTCCCTTTTAATTTATCGAAACCTAGATATGTAAAGGAGAGAAAAGGACAAAAAAAAAAAAAAAAAAAAAAAAAAAGGCGCAACGCGGCAGAAGGCGTTTGGATCCCCGCGGGCCGCAGCGGAGCTCCCCGCAGCCCCCGGCCGGGCCGGGCCGGGCCAGCCGCCGGTGCCCTCAGGTGCCGCCGCTGCCCTCGATGCCCTCAGGCTCCGCGGTGCCCCCGGCGCCGCCGCCCCCTCCGCTGCCGCCGCCCCCGGCCGGTACCTGCAGCACCTCCCGGCCCCGCACCGAGAGCGCGATGTGGCGGCTCTGCAGGCCGCAGCAGACGTCCTTAGCCCGGGTGCCCGGCGGCACCTGCACCTCGATGAACACCTCCTCCAAGGTCTGGTACCAGCGGCCCCAGGGCGTCCCGCAGGGCACCAGCCCGCTCCGCTCCTCGAACGGCGCCGACATGGGAGCGCCGCGGCCCCGGCCGCACACAACGCGCCCTGCGCATGCGCGCGGCCCCTCCAAAGCCGAGAGCAGCGGGGCGCCTGCTCCGCGTCGGGGGCGCTGATTGGATGAGCGAGCCTCAAAGCGGAGGAGGAGATTGGCCGCCCGGGGCGCGTGGGGGCGGCCGTTGCTCTCTTTGAACGCTGAGGGGCCGCCCTACCCCGCGCGCTGCTCCGGCTGCTGCCATGGCCTTCGCCCGCGCGCCGCTCCGCCGCTTCAACGATGCCTCCGGTAACAACGGCCCCGCGGGGTCCCGCGCTGGGGGTTGGGGGCGGAGGGGAGCCCGGTTCCTCCTTGGGAGTGCCGGAGGCGGCCTGCGGTTACCGCGGTGTGTCCCGGTCCTGCCCGTTTTTCCCCCGGAGAGGGCGGTTGCTTGTGAGCGGGCCTGTGAGGGCTTCTGGTTTAAGCTCTTGTAGGCGCTTTCTTTTTGAGGGGAAAGGAAAATCCGATTTTAGGTCGAATTTTGGCCGTAGGTAGATGGCTACTGAACGTCGTGGTGAGCAGATACAGTTATGTAGTAAATAAGACGATGGCAAACCAGGATTTGCTAGCCGCTTGATACTGTGATGCAAAACTACAAGAGAAGCGTACAGGTTTATTCACAACTGAAGTACTGCTACTGAGAGCGTTTTTTAATGTAGACAAATGCTTACAGTCAGTTTTGGTTGTGGCTGAATGCCTTGCTGCTGCTGTCACCTACTTACATTAAGTGAAGTTATTCTCAGTTGCAGAAAGCTGAAGCAACTAGCTAAGCATTTACTGGGCTTGAGACCACCTGACTACAATGATAATTGTATTAAAAATTTGTAGCCATCTTGCTTCTGTCTGCTGTTTCCCTTTAAAATGTTTAATTTTACTAACATAGCAGTTTTCATGTTTTTATAGAAGCTTAAGTAATGTAGTTCTTTAAATCAGAAAATTAGTTTTCAATAACATTGAAGTGGTCTCTTTTAAACTGGAAGATGGTTTAAAAAAATGCTTCAGGTCACGTTTTATCCTTTAACACTTCAGATTGGCTTTTTCACCAATTAGCACTAAGATCCTCTAACCATTTGTTTGTTTTTTGTTTTTTTTTTTTCTCTAGGTAAGTTAATGTATTGCAATTGCTAATAAGATGCCTTGCAATACTGTATGTATAAAGCACAGTTTATAGTTTTATTAGCAGTGTAATAAACCTACCCTTTCCCTACCATGTGTGCTGTACGTTTTCTTCATATTTATGGTGAGGATGAGGACAACTGAGACTCCAGTTGTTGGTTGTTTGGGCTTTTTTTTTTTTTTTCTTAAACTGCTTTAACATAGGTGTGTTAGTAGCCTCAACTTATTGAAGTTGAAAACCGTATTGTTTACTTTAATAGTTCTCTGCTGTTCTGAAAATCTCTTTTCTAGTATGTATCCCACTGCGACAATCCTGCGATGCTAAATCTTCGGACACACTGAGAAGTTCTCTGTTCTCTGAAACAAGTCAACGGGTTAGGAAACAGAAAAGTAGCTGTAAAGGTTGCACAGAACACAGTGGTATAATATCTTTGAATGTTACAATTATTAATGATTACATGCTGTTACTGCTCTGCTCCTGTTTGGAATTTGTTATGTGTTGCAGGGGCTCACTGCCTACCTGTCAGCTCAAGGGAACAGCAGCTGTAAAAATGTGTCTAACAATCTTGTAAAAATAGCTTTATATGCAATTCTTCATAATTAGGGGGACCTCTGGGATAAAATAAATTATTTTACTCCTTCATTAACCTTGATTTTAGTTGTATTTTCATGGCTTTTTCATATATTAAAGCATGCCTCAGTTGAAAAGCAACAGCATGGATGTGGGGGGGCGGGGGGAGACTTGGAAAAAGTTGGGTTCTCACAACTGGCTGTCATCTGGTAGGCTCTTTCTAAACTGTCAGTTGCTCAGATGACTAATATTGAACTGCCTGATTGCAGTAAGAAAGCAGCTGGCTTTGGGTTGTGAAGTAAATAGTCTTAATAATCAGGTGCTGTTCTGTCTTTTGCATAAAAAGTCAATTAACCTTGTCTAATTTGGTTGATTTTCCCTCAATGTATGCATGCACACCCTTTTCCTTCACCATTGTCTTCTGCATCCTTCTTCAGGTGAGACAAACCTGAACAGTAAAGAGAGTGCACCTACCCCTGTAATTGGAAGGAGACTCGCATCTCTCAGATCAACAGTAAGACTCTCCTGTGTTGTCTGTAGCACTGTTAAATACCAGCTAAGCCTCACTGTGGCTGGTTAAGTCATGTAGCCCCTTTATACAATTACTACTAACCTATCTATGAAACACATTATTGTGCCTGTATTCCTTAGTAACTAAGAAGGAAAAGTGAAATTGCAGAATTTTGGGGAATCGTGATGATTACTTGGAACTACAGAGTGACTTGTTGTCTTTGGTGTTATAATGTTGGGGTGTTTTGTTTCTTGCTCATCATGTAAATATGGTGTGGCGGCTTCTGAAGAAGAGCATGTGGCTGTTTCTGCTTCATATGGTGGACATGGCAGAGCAGAAACCAAGTGGTAAAAGAAACAGGGTATGGTATGGTATGATATGCAGGTTCTCAGTGCAATGTGCAAGGATATGGATTTGAAGATGTATAATTTAACCAGTTGAAACTTTTTAACCCTGACTTACTAATTTAGTTTACTAGAACTCATGATGTAGGATGAAATTCTGCAGACAAACCTGTGGTTAAGAGATGAAAGTGCTTTTTTTTATGGAATTTAGGGGAGTGTTAATATCTCATACTTCCTGTTACAATGGTTATGAGCTGTCCATTCAGAGTAATGCTTATGAAAAGGAACAGTGCTAAAAGCCATCCTAACCTGATACTTGTCTGCCCTAGGTGTGGGAGAGATATTTGCTTCCAATTCTGTGTGTGTATCTTTAATAGCATTGTCTATATGAAGGTATCCATGCATATTTCACTGTGTTGCTAAACTATTATGCAGCTATAGATAAGTTTAAATATTTCTAATCCATCTGTTTTCAAAAGCCAGCTAACAGGACTCCGAACCTTAAAAAAGATCTTAACCTTTTGAAAGAGAAAAAGAAACAGAAGACTCTGGAGAAGGAGGTATGAATACATTATGTGAGGGCAACACTGTAATCTATGTTTCCCACTTACCGTAATAAAAAATAAAAGCTGGTAAAATTAGCCCCTTTTGCATAACATAGCATAGAAGTAGTTTGTAAACAGCAAAAGTTATGATATGTGGAAGCATTGTGTGTATTAATGAGATCACATTAATTCCTACTGATTGTGAACAGCTATGCACCCAACTTTTTTTTTTTAAAGAAGTCCTATATTCTCTACCACAAAAAGGTTCTGTTTAACAACTGTTTGCTGAGATTTTTTCTTAATGATTGACATAGTTTGAGGCAGCTAACTTTTCCTTATTAGTACACTTGTATGTACTCTTTTGTACTTCATGTGTCTCAAATGTCACATTCTGTCTTTCTGTTCCACAGCTGAAGGGGAGATTTGGCTTCTATTTTAAGTTGAAGCTAAGACTGTTTTAACTTTAACATGTTGTATGGCTCAGTAGAATGAAGTAAGTTAAAATGCTAGGACTGCGAATCTGTGGTGTGTAATAATAGACAATGGTGGTGATTCTGTTATCTCCATTTCCTGTGAATGACAGAGTTGAAGATATATATTCTGTATGAAAGTTAATGCAGTTTGGTACTTAGATTCTTCAAGAAGACCACGGGCATAAACTAATGATGTTATTTAAGAGGAGTAATAGTAGGAAATAAAGAAAATATCTATTCTATTTTAGATTCGTGCATTAGTGAGAGAGCGTGGAGAGCAAGATAAAAAACTTCAGGCTCTAGATGAGGATTTTGTTAAGATTGAAGCGAAGCTAAGTGCAACAGTTCAGGAGAAAACATCTCTTTTGGCAAACATTGCATGCCTAAAAAAACAGCTTCTGGAACTAAGAAGAACCAATGAACTACTGAAGTCGAAGGTATTCAGACAAATGAGCACCTATTTGCTTTGCCTTGCTGTTTGTAAGCTTTCTGTGCAAGAGGAAGATTTAGTTGCTGCTCAGTATCTGTTTCCATGTCCCCTGCGCCCCTTCCTTGGCACAGAGATAGAGCATGTCTGGTTTGGGATCTTGTGCGCTTCTGTCTAAAGGCAGAGGGGGACCTGCTAACATCCATCTCAAGGATGGGCAGAGATCAGTGTTGTGGGTGCGAGGGGGACACTTTTAAAGGATTGTGTGAATAGTAGTTCATGTGAAGGAGTTACGCTTAATGGTTTTATATTAATCTCTAATAAGCTGTCTGAAGATGGCATGCAGAAGAAAATGAGCAGCCTGTGTGTGGAGTTAATGAAGCTCAGAAACAAGAGGGATGCTAAGGAGAAGGTATGACCATTAGCACTGCACATGATAGTAACTGGGCTGTTCGGGAACAGACGATGAAGGGCTTATCACATAACTGCAGGTCATGTCTTGTTTCTGTCTTCAACTGGCTAGTTTCTTCTAATTTCTGTGGAGTGAAAATAGAAAGAGCAAACAACGAATGTTATTGATTTTGGTGTTGGTGTGTAGAGTAAATCTCAGTTTAAGTAAGGAAGCCTAGAAATACCTCTGTTAAAAGGTCAATCTGTTGGTCAGACTTAATTGATTTGAAAACCAGTGGTCCTAAGTATAGTTTCAAACTCTTACACGTTTGTGCTTTTAGAGGGGTGTGGGTGGTGGCTAATATCTTTACAGAGGGATACTTTGAATCACATTTAGCGGAGTAGCAAGTGCTATCATTAAATTATAGTTATGAATTAATTTCTGTTTACCACTGTCTTTTAGCCAATGGATTATATTTATTTACTGAATCTTGTTTTGGTGGTAATACTTATGTGTGTTTTTTTTTTTTTTTTTTTTTTTCCTAAGACTGCACTTGCAAAGCAAGAAGACATGGAAATGAAGCTGCAGCAAGTTCAAAGGCATCTGGAGGACTCAAAAGGGAAAGTAGCACAGTTAGAAGAAAAACTGTAAGTAGTAAGGAAGGGAATTGACTTAGATGACATTATATCGTCTAGCTGTGCTTACACCTTACAGTGAGCATGTAGTTTAGAGAAAATACAGGCCATCTCCATAGTGAGAGGGAACATAAATGATTACTCTTTCTTACCTTGAATAAATCTGATAGAATTAACTTTTAGGTACTGCTATTTTTTTCTTATAAAAGGAACATAAATACTGTTCTTATAGTGTAAATAACCTTTTTCCAAAAGACAAATTGTATCATCCCAACCCTTTGTCTTCCAGTGTGGTATGGGTGCAGATTTCTTGGGTGTGTGGAGGGGAGGGAACATGTGTTTTGAGGAAGTAGTTGTTGTTCATCTTGGAGCAAGACATTCATGTACTTTGGATGCTTCAGTGTCTGGCCCTTTAGACTATGAAGTTAGGAATAAGCAACAACGGAAAAGCATTGAACCAGGAGTTGAGATCCTAATTCAGTAGTCAGGCATTTGGCACAGATTTGATGAACACTTGTATGTTTTGTAGCAAAGTGTATTGATGAGCAGTTGCAGTTCCTTCGAAGTTGCTTTGTAGTAGCCACCTCTTCTGAAGAAAGGCAACTGCCAAGTGTCTTGGCTTAAGCAGCCATATGTAGGAAGAGGGACTTCCAAATCAACACTTGTATTGTGCCCAAATAATGTAATTTGCTGCAGAAGAACAGTGTGCTAACATATAGGCTATTTCTGAGGATAGTGCTCGAAGAAGGATGATCTTACAAGGTCTATTCTATGTCAATTTTGCATTATTGCATTGCAGCATCCTTCTTATGCTTTCTGCATTTACTTATGAAATATGAGTGAATTTTTATACTTAGATTATCTTTAAAATGCACAAAATAATGCAGATAGTGTGATGCACAAAGGGAAGAAATTATATTTCTGTGTAGCTCATGCAGCTGTTCTAGCATGCTTGTGGCAGAATATGGCGCTGCATCGTTACTATAAATGAAAAGACTGTATGAAACAAGTGTGAAAAAAGGTAGAATCAACTCGTAGAGCCAATAGCAGTTTGTCAGCCAAACCGGATTATGAAAAGTACCTATTACTGCAAGTTGTGATTCACTGGTTTATTTCTGCTTGCTTATCTGTAAACTTCCTGGTTTTAGATCTGCTACTGAGAGAGAGAAAGTTGAAGAAAAGTCTGACACTGAAAAACTCCTGGAATATATCACTGAGCTCAGGTAACAATGAACTGTTGTTGGGTTGGTAAGGAATCCTAAGATGTTATTTTAATTAACTTACTAAATGTTAAATGATGATGAATGAAATATGGTTTTCTAGTCTAAGCAATACTATGCAGGAGTTGTGTATGAGGATCCTAAAATCATATTTGTAGCCTGAGTTACTTGTATGTAAATTGAGCTAAATCCTTTTCTTCTGAGGTACTGGCAGTTATGTATTTTAGCCCTTGCCTGTAAAACAATGTACTGTAGGGCAAAAAACCCCTCATTCTCCACTTCTGGTGGACTTTACAGTGCTCTGATTTGCATGTAAGAGTTATGATGAATTATGTATGTATGACCATCAGTCTGATGCTAAAAATTCCTAACGCAGTGTTTTGTAACCGATAGAAACTCTAACCAGTCTTCACAGTAATATGCCCCTAGCTCAGAAGATGGTGAGAATACAAAAGTATTTATATTTAACTAGTTCACTCTTCACTGCTCCCAATGCTGTCAATTTACTTTTTAAGAGATACATTATTAACTGACTGTGTATCTTAAGAATCTGCTTGTTCTTGTAAAATCTGGTTTATTAATGTGTATGCTTCTCTGAAAACTCAGGTTTGTAAAAAAACTGGATGTAGCAGTCAACTGTGAATCAATTATAGTGACTAATTCTGTTTTAACTTGTACATTTTATTTCTGTGATTGTGTAAGTTTATTTTGAAACAAAACATGGGTGTTGAAATTGCTTCTAATTATAATTTACCTGTCTTAATGTGCAAGAACTTGTGTCAGGGAAAGTAGGTGAAGGCAGCTTCCCTGTTGGAAACCAAGAGTCCTAAGCATGTTTCCTTTTTGCTGAAGTGTAAGCTTGCAAACAGAGTTTAGTGGTAACAAATACCTGAATTTTCTCCTGCAGTAGTGTTGCAGAAACAGCTGAGAAATACAAACTAGATGTTGCGCAGATGGAGGATATGCTGATGAAGAAAGACCAAGATATTGAGATGCTGAGGGATAGCCTCAAAACAAAAGAGGAAGAACCATTTCAAGTGATAAAAGAACTAAATGAAAGATGTCAATTGCTTCAACAAGAAAAAGGTAATTCTTAGTGCTTGTATGGTGTTCACATAACTGGGATCACTGTGTCTTAAATCATCTCAAATAGGTTTGTTCTAAAAGGCTGATTTAGACTGGTTTTCCAAGTTAAGTCATGTCTCTGCTCCAGCTGCGTGCAGCTCAGCTTATTTCAAGCAACATAAAAACTATCTGATATATTTAAGTCTAAATTTGTGTTTCCATGGAGGGATATAAAGGTAGGTTGTCTAGAATGAAAATTGTTTATATGGTAGGAATGGCTTTAATATAAAAGGTAAACACAGGTGAGTTGTTCCATACTCTCCACTGAGAAGCAGTAGGAAATTGTCTCAATTCACTGTTAGCAGCTTGTGCATGAGTTCATTGAGGTATTGGGAATGTGTCTAGGAACCCTTCATCTCTTTCCTCCCCTCTTGCTCAAACCCAGCAACTCTGTAACCTGGGACTGGTACTCACTTCTCTGTATACCTGTTGGCTTGTATGTGCTAGTATTATGTGGAACAGGCTTTGGGGAAATCATTTAGTTGAGAAGACTAACAGCTTGATCTAGATATTTTTGCTGTTAAAATTATTTTAAATGGTGTACTTTGAGCCAGTTTTGAGGAGTTTCCAGATGGCTTAAGGGTGTGGTTTTTGTTTATTTTTTTTTTTCCTTGCCTAACTAACTTTAAAGCTAGAATGGAAGTACTATGAAGAATAGATGCTGTAGTTGTTAAGTTGTTAAAAGATAGAGATGGGAATTTTTGTTATATTGACAATACCTCTATGCAGAGAATGGGTTGTCAGAGACCAGAGGAAAATTGCTGAGTATGAAGGCTGAAATAGAAGACCTGAAAAAAAAAATTGGCTTAGATGAACAAGAACACCAAAAACTGCTTCAGAAACATGAGGAGGTGGTCTCTCAGCTGCAGCAAGAGAAGGTAAATACAGACTATAAATCAGTCTAAAAACACTCTTATCTCTGTGACTGGCACTGAAGGTTCTGATTTTAGTTGTATGTGAGACTGCTCTATTAATAATGGTCTAATGTGTGGAATATGCGAGTGGGTGCTAGCCAGCAGAAACTGTGTGGTCCAACAGCTTGAAGAACTTGTTTGAGGTTTTTTGTGTTTGATTTATTCCTGTAGATTTGACCTTATTCTTGTGATTTGAAGTTTGAACAGTGCAAATCAGCCTTTAACATCTAGAAAAATACTGCTAGTTTTAAAATGTGTGGTACTCTGGCATGTAGGAGTCATCTGCATCAATGCACCAGAAGCTGCTGGAGTTGCAAGATGAAGTAACAAGCGAGAGACAACTTCTTGAAGAAGAGCTGAATGATACCATGAATGAGCTGAATAAATTACATGCTAAGGAGAAGAAAGCTGAAAAGTTGGTGAAGCGGTTGGAACAAGAAATCAAATCTCAAGCTCTTGAACTTGCACAGATGGAAGTGAAACTGAAAGGGTCTGAAACCAATTTTCTCATTCTAAATCAGTCGTATAAACAAAGCTTCTGAGCATAATTGATGTTTTAAAGAGACCTGAACAGATCTAAACGTTTGTCTTGCTGGTCGTTGATTACTGATCTAATGATGACTGGAATCAGTTTTATGTTGTCTTCATTAATTTTAAATTAGTGTGCTGAGACTTGCTCAAAATGCCAGTACTGTAGTAATTTGGCGTGTCTGTGAGGGGTAAACTAAATGTATGTTGTATTGGATGTTTCTGCCCTGGAGAGGGCAATGACCAGGAATGATTTTTCAAGCAAGTTGTTTCTTGCTTTCACGTATTGAAAGTATGCTAATAGGTGTTCAATCTATTTCATAGCTATCTTGGAAAATAAGGGGAGGGAGAAATGCTTCTTTCAATCTGCTGTGAAGATTGTGCTTGAATACTTGAGAAGTTGGGGCAGAGAAGTTACTGCTTTGTCACAAGTAATCTATTGCTGCTGCTGCAAGCTTTCTCTAACTGATAACAGCATTTGGTAATGAGTTCAAACATACTTACCTCCAGCATGGAATGCTGAATTTTTATTTCAGGAGGAATGCTGAGTTGGAGCAAATCAATGAAACGCACAGCAATGCTGTTCTGCAAATCCAAGAAGAGCATAGCAATACACTGCGTAAACTTGGAAAGACTGTTGCTGAGTTCGAAAGGTATTTAAGTTTCATTAGGATGGGGATTATCTCTAAGATTACAGTAAAATATGTTGTTTATTGATGTGCCTTGGTACTTAACACTGCGTAAGGAGCAGGGGTATGGTATTAGAGCAGAGGTCTTTTTTGATGGAGTATTCAATGGTATTAAGAAATTAAATCATTCCTCCTGAGTACTAGTTAAGTGCAATGATGTACTTGGTATATATACAGTTCAGGAAACTGGATGCTGCTGCTTCAAAAGTGTAACCAGTTAAATACTCAAGTGCTCTTGCATCTTGGTGAGAGTTGTAGCTAGTGATGGTGTTATCTTTGCGCTAAAATCTCTTGCGAAAAGATTTATTGTTTAGGCTCAAAACTCTCACTCAATCGAGATACTTTAACTGCAGTACTTGTGGATCTTTCCTTTCAAAATACTCAGGTTGTGGAATGATTTTAAAAGTGTTACAATTACTGATAAGTATGCAGGGCACACATGAAGGATCCAGTGGGGTAATTGCCATTGCAGTCTGTAGACAGTAAGTCTTCTGGTGTTTAAAATAAGCTTCAGCTATAGGTAGGTCTCTTGTGTTTTAAAATAGCTACCAAAATGTGAAAATATCTGTATTGCAGAATTTGTCATAATGGTACTGCCTATGGTTTTATGGAAACATGGTTTGTTTTTTTTAATGTCGGATTTATCAGAGCTAAAGCACTGCCATATCTCTAGATTATAAAAATTCTTAGCATGAGCTTGTATTGCTCTTGTAAAGCCTGAACTTGTCAATTTGGTTTTGTTTTCCTTTATTTTTTCTAAAGTAATAAGATTTTTCTTATTTGCATTGCAATACCAGCTACAAGAAGACAACATGTGAAGAAATATGCAGTCTTAAACTGCAGAAGACCTCTCTGGAAGAAGAAGTTTCCAACCTGAAGAAAATAGGCCAAGATAATCTACACCTGCTCCAGGAAGCAGAATACACTAAAAACAAAGCAAAAGAGGAATGTGCAAGGTACTAGACAGACTTTTCCTTCAGTGTAAGGAACGCTAACTAAGGCTTGCCTTATTAACTAGAATTTAACATGGTGCTCTACCAGATAAAATCAGTGTTGGGTGTAAGCTTAAGTTTTCTCCTTTTCGCAGTGCAAAGGGTGGAAAATGGTCAGAACTTAAGTTTATATGCATTAGAAAATGATCTGTTCAAGCCATTGCTTTGACTTGTTCCTTTATATGAAACAAATAGGAAGAAGAAAATAGTTAACTGAAATAGGTTGGAATAGGGTCTTCATCAGAAATATCAGTTACAGTGACTGTTCAACAGATAAGATCCACAGGAGTAGCCAAACAAATAATGCAGAGCTCACAGTTTGCCACTAGTCTGATTAACACGTCACCTTAAATTCTGCTCACAAGTAGATGCCAGTTAACCACCCATGAATTACCACATTGTGGCAAAGTAGACAAAGGTGTTCTCTCTGCTTAATATGAAGCACCACAGTGCAGCTGATGAGTAATGACAACCAAGAAGTTTTAGGCCACTTGCTGAGGACATGTTTCACTGACTGTCTTAGAGCAGCTTAGGGGTGTGGGTTCTTCCAGCTCACTGTGCAGAGCATGAGGAAGTCCCTTGCTGTGGGCGAGACACTGACTGTTGGAGCAAGTGGGGGAGTTGGATCTTAAAAGGTCCTGGTGTACAATCACCTGTATTAGGCAACTGTGGTGACTGCGTGTATGTGAGTTGCATTACCGGATGTATTGTGTATGTGCTGGAAGATTTCCTGCCCCTCTTCTTGTAGTGTACTTTGGAGCTAGCTTCTGAAGTTGAAGCTGGATTTAAATCAACAACTACAATCTTAACTTTTTCACTGTTGCATGTGGATAAATTGTTTATTCAAGCTGTATTAAAATGATGCTCTGGCCAAACTGAACTGGGCATTTCTGATTTTCTCAACTATCTCTTTGCAGATTTATAAAATGCCTCTGTAAAGTTTTGTAATGCTTCTGCTCTCTTAACTAGTAGTCTTAACTACTAAAGTGTCCTCCACTGAAAGCTGCTGGCATTAAACAGCCATAAAAAACAAACATATCTTTTCCTAGCTTTCTCATAGGAGTTAAAAATATTGTACATCTTCAGCTTGATTGCTTTCTGTATTCTTCTCTTGTAGCACTGTTTGTGCAAACCTTTATTTCAGTTCTTCTACTAAGAGCCTTTCAATCATGGTTACTTGTGTTTTCAGAATTAGAGTAGTTTAAAAAAAAAAAATAAGGGTTCATTAAGGATGGATGATATTTTCCGCAGGATGCTTTTAGAAGTCCAGACAAAGCTTGCATTAAAAGAAGCAGAAACAGAGAGAACAAGAGAGTCTTGTCTTGCACAAATGAATAAACTTCAGGAAAAACTGGAAGAACAAACTGAAGATCTGAAACGAAAACTTGAATTGGAAAAATCAAGGTGACTTTTCTGATGCTAAGCCTGCATATTATAGCACATAAAAGTTAGTGTGAAGTAGTACTGAGAGTAACAATGAATATAATGCAACCTGACTTCTTTTTAGGGAAGCCATAAATGAAGATGTGATCTCTAGCTTAAAAGAAGAGATAAAGACCTGGCGTAATCTATATGAAGATTTACATAACAAAGCTAAGCCTTTTCAGGTGTGTTATGAAGTAGGTGTGTGTTAGTATCTGTCGACTTAAGACCTGTGCAGTTGGCTTGAGTTCTACTCTTGAAGTAAGCATGTTGTTTCCCTTTCTGAGATAATACTTATCCTGCAATGGTTTCCTAAGTTCCTATCTCCTGAGCGAGCTCTTCCCTTACCCAAAACAATTTTCTTTCTAGTCGAGTTCAGTAATAAAGCTGTATTTAATTTAAAGATTTCTAAAAGATTCAATATGTATTTCAGCATCAACTAGATGCATTTGAAGCAGAGAGGAACGCGCTTTTAAATGAGCATGGTGCAGCCCAAGAAGAACTGAATAAACTAAGTGATGCATATGCCAAACTACTTGGTCACCAGAACCAGAAGCAAAAAATCAAGCATGTTATGAAGTTGAAGGAAGAAAATACCCACCTGAAGCAGGTTTGTGAACTACTAAGTGTAGAAATTGGTAAATTATTTATTTGCTTGATTTCTTTGTTGCTCTAGATACTTATAGACTAATCCTGCAAACTACTTCCTTGATGTTGTTCTTAAATTCCCTGCAAGAGCTAGACTAGAACAAACCACCAGCTTCCAGAAACACCAAGAGAATCTGGTTTAGTTTCAGCAGAATATATGATAGAGGGATCACCAGTACAAATAACTGCCCCTACTCGTCGCGTTGCTGTTTTTTCTTTCCTGTTTTGGAGGATTTAGACTTACCAAAGTATTTGCTGAAAGTAGCACATGAAAGCTTCAGGCTACCATACTGCTTTGTGGTGTTATACGGCATTTACGCAATGGTGCTGGCTGCTCTACACCTGTCAACTTGGTTTGGTTTTCTAATGCCACCAATAATTATGTATGTATGTATGTTTGTGTTTAGTTGCAGGCTTTTTGCCAGTTCTTACTCTAATTTGCAAGTTTTGTGTTTTTCTTTAGGATGTCTCAAAACTGCGTGCATTGTTAGCAAAGGAAAAGCAAACCAACAGAGATCTTCAGGAGCAAGTATATGCAATTCAGGGCATTAGGCGCTTTGACCCTTCCAAAGCTTTCCAGCATGATAGTAAGGAAAATATTCCTCCAAAAACTCCTTTTAAAGAAGGTAAGCTTAGATACTGATGTAACCATGTCCTTTTACCTGTTAACCAAAAAAGGTATGATAGTTTTCTATCCTCTGCTGTGTTTGAGGAAGGAAGGAGAACGGTGCCTTGTGTGTGTCATAGCAGATGTTGGAAGGATTCAGCAGTGGGGCACTCGCAGCATTCAGTTTGCTGTTGTCCTTTCCAGTCCAGTTCCTTAAAACAGTGTGTTTGGTAGGGGGGAGAAGAGGAGGGGGTGAGTTACAGGGAGTCAGCTTGTTTGCATGATCTCGCAAGATGGGAGCTTTGCTACTGTGCATGGCCTACAGCTTTCCTTCTGTCACAGAACCCAGGCAGCACAGCTCCCCAGGTGACAGCCATGGCTCCTGCATGGGAGGTGCGGGTAAACATGGCTCAGGCAGAGGTTTGAGCCTTGGTTCTTTAGCTGCTACATGGTAAGTAAGCATACCTTACGCTGCTGTAGGTGTAAATGTGAGATGCAAAAGGTCTGCAGATAGCTGTGGAGTGGAGGGGAAGATGGCAAGAGAATAGGGGTGCACGGAGGGAAGCAGTGTAGGGGAGAGTTGGAGGGCATAGGGTTCAACCAGACCTTCATTTTACATATATTTCAGGGTCTGAATTTCTGGCTTACCTGTTACATGGAGTGTAGTGCCTTCCTCCCCACAGCAGACAAATGACTACTTGATATGGTGAGAGCAATAGTGGAAAACCCAAACTTAGTACCATTTTTCCATTACAGGTAATAAAAACAAAATTTAATCGCTTGGTATTAAGAAAAGTACCATAAATCATGAACACACTGATGTGCTACAGAAGACTTCAACAGACAACTAACTCAAGGTGAACTGGGATGCTACGTATGCTACAAATTAGTAGAAGTACTAGAGAAATGTGATAAAACCATATATTTTTAGAACTGTACCTGGTTATACTCTTGCTGAGATGCCATCAGTGACTGTATGTTCCAGACTCCTGGTAACACTCTTGCACCCTTGAACTCCCAAAACTGCTCATAGCTTTACCTTTTTGGTATGCTGAAGCTGCTTAGTTGGTTTTCAACGCAGCAGCTTGAGTTAAGAAAATATGAATAAGCACTGGAGAATTAGAATGGCAAATGAAATCTGATTTTAGGACTTTTTTTTTTTTGCATCTGCAGTATACAATCTGACATTAAATGTTGCTCTGTATGATTGCTTCACTGCCAATGGCAGGAATGCTGCCAAGAGACCCTTTTTCCTCTATGGCCTACGTAATATAGAGCCAATGTAGAAAATTGGACTGTACAGTTAGTTTTTATATTCTTAATAGGATCTACATTCAGGACATGCTAATTTAAAACCTGGGGCTAGCTATTGCAGCCGTTTATCTTCAGCAGAGGATTTTCAGGTCAAATTCAAATTGACTGCATTTACCTAAATGTTTGCATACTGTGGCCAAGATTAGTATCTTAAGATAAATGTCTATTATGAATTCTGTGCTCACTGGACTCTTCAATTGTAATACCTTGGTAGCCAGCTGTTATAGCTGATCAGTGCTTTGTGAAGGGAAATAACAGAATTTGCCTTAATTGGGTGGGAAGATACCAACTGAACATGCATTCATTGTGCAGTCTTGAATTTTGGCAAGGCGGAAAGAATCTGTTTAACTGCATCTAAAACTAAGAGTGTTTTAGCACAATAAAAACATCAAATAAAATAATTTCTCTATTTCCTTGATAAACGAGGGATAAAACCAAAATCAAATTACGTGGTGGAATTGACATAATGCTCTTTGTTCTAGTCTTAAATCTTCATAATGAAGCCCAATGTCAGTCTTGCCTCAAAGACCGTGTATTCTTTAATCTGACAGAAATTATTTAGCTGAACGTTACAGTACATAGACCTGCATACAGTACATAGACTCTCATTTCCTGTTAATATCCCTTAATACAAAAGTAAATACTAGAACTTCAGAAAACATGGAGCTCTGTTCTTGTTATTGTATCTACTAATAGCCTACATATGGGTGCTGCGGAGTCAGTAGGCAAATCTTAGCGTCTTGAATATAATGACATTTATACTGACATTAAAAGCTTTCAGACAGTTGATAATGCCTAGGAGATATCAAAAACGCATATTAAGTCCAGGGAAATAAATTGTTATGTCTTGTCTGTTAATGTAATGTGTTTGTGTATTTGCTGGATTAATTTAACTTCTGCAGATGGAGGAGGAGGATTCATCTCAGGTGTTTGGCTTGAGAAATACTTGGTGTTCAATTTAGCAGTTTGCTTGTAGTGTTGAGATGCAGAGTTTAATAAGGAAGTTGCTGGAAGATTGATACTAGTGTTATCTCCTTGTGGAGAAAAAGATACAGGTTTTTCTTGTCTTACAGATGGAAATGGGGTAAAACAAAACTAGAAGCAGTATGTATTAGTCTGACTCATTTGATGAGAATGCAGCTTTACTAGAGGTCCTGATGTTATACAGCCTGGATATCCACTTGTCAGTGGATGCAAAATGAGCAGTGGGTCAAACCAAACTCCATCCAGGGAGCAGCAGGGGCAAGAGCAATGGGGGGGTGGGGGGGGCAATCTGTAAACAACTGTGAGCAGATGAAGTAACACTACAGCTATCATACTAGAGTGTCTCACAAAATGTCATCAGCCTGTCATGTGTTCTTGCTGAAAGTTGCCCACTTCCTGTGGTGTTCTACTCATGGGGGATTTTTAAGGCAAAATCAGTATTCATAAATCAGAATGTCAGTCTGCAAAGCCTTCATGCCAAAAAAATAATACTTCCTTAGTTTAATGGGTTTCTAAAAATGTAGATGAACCTATTAAAAGAGATTAGGGCGAGTCCATTTTCACAAAAGGTTCCACAAGCCTCGAAACATGGAAGTGAGGACCCTGAGTGAAGGTGTATTTTTTTACCTGAACCTCATTTTTGTTGTTTGACGTGTCCTGCATCAACTAAGCAGGATTGTCAAAGGGTGAAAGTATACCAAGTGAAGCAAGATACTGCAGGTATCACGGGACTGTTTTTAGGATGGCTACGTACTTTCTTCATACAGTCTTCAGTTTTAAAAGTTTCTAGCTTAATTGGCAGTTTTGCCTAGGTGTTATTTCAAATCCTTTTTACGCTATCGTGAGCATGCCTATATTGCAAAAAGAATAGGGAAACTAGCAAATAATTATGCTAACCTTGCAGCAATGTCAATTTTTGGTTTAGCTTTAAAATACAGATAAAGAATGTAGAGCAGATTGGAGAAAGAAGAAAAGAGTGGAGTCAAGGGCAAGTTTTACATGCTTTATGTCAACTTCTAGCTTTTGTGGTTTCGCCAGTTTCATGCACATGAAATAAGCATTAAAAACTGAAACCTTGATACTGGTAGCTCAACTGACTTAAGTATTCACTGCAGGAATCAATTACTTTCCTGTTGTCGAATATAGCCTTTTTTTAATTGAAAGAATATATGATTTAACAAGTCATTATTTTTCTGATCAGCTGTCTTGCTGTATTGTAGCACAATCTGCGTTGTACTTAGTTTAAAATTAAAACGGAGAGCTGACAGAACCCTCAACCTGGCTGACCCAATTAGAGCCCTCCTCCTGTTTGCTGTAAAAGGGAAACTGCCTAATGCTCAGTGCCAGTGCTTTGAGTAGGTTGGATGCACGCAACAGCTGCACTTGCTCACGCTGGCTGTTGGGAAGTGAAAATTTAAGTTCATACTGAGCTGCTTAAATGGTACCACTGGGAATCAACTAAAAGCTTAACAGGATCCGGAGCCCCATGTGATATGGGGCTTGGATTAGAGCTTTGGTTTCAAAGGTCAACTGAGCTATTGCTGCTTTCAGTCCATGTGCTCTCTGCAGGCAAAAGCAGACAAAGGGACAAACATGCAGTTGAACTGCAATAATTTCCTAGGCTGGTAATTCCTGCTGTAGCTTGAGGCAAGGCCTGAAATGGTGGTGGAAATGGAGCAGGTAAGGCTCTGGATACTTGCATTAATAGATTGATGCCACACTTTGATTACAGAATCTAGGGAAAAGGAAACAGGAGAGAGAGAGAAAGACTTAATTATGCTTTAGTCTCTGCAAATTAGAGTCTGAATCGTTACTTTAATGAATGGTGCATTTAGTTACCCGCTAATGAGTTATGCTTAAATGACTGCGATACGGACTATAATAAATTTATCTATCCCATTAAATCAGTGTTTCACAAAGTAAATGATCGTAAAGGAATTAAAAATGTAAGATATTCTGCTGCTGAATTCAATATAAGTATTTGAGCAAAAAAAAGATAGACCGTGTTCTGTTATGAAGGTAAAGTATGCGTAGTTTTTGTAACTGTTCAACTGCTGACAAAAATGTTGAAGATACTTTACAGGCCAAATTCTGGTTCTAGCTTGGGACTCCAGTGTTATTGCTTTCCCTCTTCTCCTTCTGCTTAAAGCCTGGAAGGGAATATTTCTGTGCCATTGTTTCTGTTAAGGTGCATGGTGAGCTCTTGCAGCCAGAGCGGGGAGAGATGTGACATTAGATGCGCCTGGAGTGGTTACCTTTGTGCTGCTGAGCAGTTCAGGGTTTCTTTTAAGTTTTTTTCTTCTGAAATTCAAGTTATGAGTTACTGTTATTTTCAGTATATTTTTAAGGCTGTTGAAAGGGATTAAATGGTCTGTAGTTTGTTACAAGGAAAACCAGGGCATCTGCATTCCAAGCAGGCAGAGCCTGGCTGAAGTGGTTTATACAAGTATACTTTCTGTCCTGTCCATGTCAGTTGTTTGTCGTAAGTAAAAGTCACTTAGAATAGGATTCTATTCAATATTTAGTAGGTTTTCTGACTCCTCTTCAGCTGTGTGTTAATTCTTGTAGATTCAGCTATTTTTTTTTCCTTAACTACCCATTAAATACTGTTTTAGTGAAGTTACAGTTGAAATAAATTTATCATGTAAAGATGTGTGAATGTAGCTAAAATAAGTCTTAGCTATTCATTCTTACACATCTCCTTGGCATCTCTCCTGTTGTTGATAACCAAGTTCAGCACCAGGCTTTGCCTTGGGAGGGTGGGGGTGGAAGAATCATTATCAAAAGCTCTGTACAGATTCATGTCACTTTAGAAACTTGCGTTCAAAAAAATACGTTTTGACTTTATGCTTACAAAATGACAGGTGTGGCGGATGAGTACTCTGTGCAGTGCTTACTTTGACAAGGACAATACTAAAACGCAAACAGAATTTCTGTAGCAGGTGCTAGAGCGCTATGGCAAAGGTCTCACTTATCACCCCGATAAGGTGTTTCAGTGGGGGAAGGACAGGCCGCCCTCGCCCCCGCTGTTCCCGCCGGCCCGCGGCTCTCACCGCACTCTTGCAGTTGAAAGCGGGAGCGCTGGCCCTGTGGCGCCGCTGCAGCACGCTGCAGGATCAGGGATGTCAGAATAAAAAGGTGGTTTTATTTTTTTGCCATTACCTCCTCCTGAGCCCTCCGCGGTCGGTCCCGGCCCTACTGCGTCGTCGCCTTCCCCTCTCAACCCGCTCCCCGGGCGGGGCCCTGAGCGCGGCGCCTGCCCCGGCCGCGCCGCTGCCCCTTTAAAGCCCCGCTCCGTCCCTCCCCCTGGCCGCGCTCTCAGCCAATCAGCGCGCAGGGGCGGGAGCCGCCTGCGTCGCCTGGGTCTCTGCGGCCCAATGAGGGCGCGCCCTGCCGCGCGCTGCACGGCCCGCGCGCCCTCCCGCAGCGCCAGGCGCGCCCCGCGGGCGGCGGAGCAGGAGGAGGCGCCGGCCCGGCCCCGCCGCCGCCATGGTGGGCCGGGAGAAGGAGCTGAAGATCCGTTTCGCGCCGGGCCGCTGCGAGCTGGTGGAGGTGAGCGGCGGCGCGGGGGGGGGCGGCGGGGGCTGCGGGCTCCCCGGGTAGGGCGGCCCCCCTACCCCCCCCCGCGGTGCGGCGGGGCGGGGCGGGCGGCCCGCGGGGCCGAGGCGCAGTGCGGCGGCGGGGCCTGCGCGGCCAGCCCGGGGCCCGGCGCTGCCCGGGTCGCTGAGGTGCCCCCCGGCCGGCGCTGGGGGCACTCGGCCGATCCCGGCTCCCCCCACCCCGTCGCCGCGTCCGGCAGCGCGGAGAGGCGGGGGCAGCGGAGCGGGCCGCTGGGGCTGCTGCGCCCGTTCTGCTGTTCAAGTGCGTAGCCGCAGCGGCCGTCGTGCGCGGAAAAGGGCTCTGTAACGGGCCGCGCTGCGCAGTGATCCCCCATCGCGGCACTGCCGGAGGCGCGTTAGTCTCGGGTGGCACATCTTATTGCCGGTGACGTTCAACAGGTGTAGCTTCGGGCTGCCGCGGGGCCGAGCGTTTGGCACGTCAGGTAAATGCGGTGCAACGCGCGGTCCCCGTTGGTGCGTGCTCCGGCTCTGGGCTCTCCCGTTGCCCTGGGCTGCTGCAGGGGACGCCGGAGCCGCCCTCCCACCGTGCGGGGAATCTGCGCGAGCTGGGGAGCTGCTGCCTCGGGGGCATGTTCCCCCAAGTTGGTATTTTTTGAGTTCGTGATGGTTTTGTCAAGTTCAGTTTTTGTAGAAGTCTTAAAAACTACTTGTATCTGGGGTTTCACCTTGAAATGTGTCACACTTTACTGGTTTTGTAAATTATACTCTTATTTTGTGTTTTGGTACCATCTACACAGTAATCTTAGGTCTCATAAATACTATTTTTTAATCTTACGCTGTTGTTGCTTATATATTTTTATGTGAATGAGACTGCAGAGTACAGTTCTTTTTTGTTACGTTGATTCTTAATCAATATTGAACATTAGATACAGCAAGATGAAATTGGATGTTTTATTTAAAAAGCTCAAAACTATTTAAGTAGTAGTATTCTAAATGAGTTGCTGAGAGAACTTTTTGCATGTTTGATGACTGACTATGATTGCCTCTTAGTTGAGAAATACATGTACGAGGTTTTTTAGCAGATAGGCTAATCTGAATAAGAACTTGTGTTTAAGTCTATAAAACTTAAAAGATAACATTTTAATTCTAGAATGTCTTATTTTTTACATAAAGTAACTGTCTATAAAATTACTGCAAACCTTAAGTGTACTTTCTAGCTTGTAAGGATAACAGCTAAGAGCAGCCTTATCTGCTAGTTGTGTCACATTATTAGTACTCTGAACACCTTTAAGAAAAAAATACGTAAATTACCAGAAGTCAAAAAGAAGATGCTAAGCCATCTATCATTTCAGTGAAGTGTTGATACTACTAGGTAGTAGCTATGGATTTTTGCCACCTTCTTTTCTAGAGGACCATGATTAATTCTTTGCAAGACAAAGCAAGTAACAGCAATTAAATTTTTAGCTGTGCTAGCTGTTACAGACGGTGTGGCTGACACACCGAGGTACGTGGTGCTGTTCCCAGATACTCACTTGCCTGTGTGCAGGCGGCTGTGCGGCCCCGGCGGTGCCTCCTGTGGCTCTGGGGGCAGCTGCCAACGGCCGTGGCGGGAACATCAAACCGCAGAGGCCCTTTGCACTCCAGTTCTGTTGCCGGTAGTTCCCGAGACAGAAACGCTGCTGCAGCCGGGTGACGTTCTGCGAAGGAACTAAGGCAACATAGGGAAAGAGTTAATCTTTGTAGGTTTTGTATTACCAGGATGTTCAGCTTCTGGCATGATGAAATATGTTTAACTTGGTAGTTGGCTTGTGTTGAGTTTATGGGAAACATCTACAACTTAATCTTGGTTTCCCAGAAACAAGTGACTAAAATGAGCTAGCCTTGCAGACAAGAGCAACAGGATGCAAACTGTACCTAACTTGGGAGAAGTTGTGGTTGTATTCAGTTCAAGCTGTGCTGCTAATGAAATAGTCTCTTTGTGATGCGTAGAATAAACCAACTTGGATGAATGATGCTTAAAAATGTCAGATTTTACAAGTGAGGCACGTTTTTGTATTGGTCACTTCCTACTTACTGAAGATATTCTGTGATATTTTTAGAGAACCTTTCAACTCTGTTTTCTGCAACAAGGCTTTGATATTTAATAGAGGGTATCCTCTGGTTCTGGAAGCACTGATAATCTGTCCTATGACCTTGTATCCAGACTTTGTCAAGATAAAAAGTACAAACGAAATAAAGAGAACACTTGCATGTTCTCGCTTAGGCTTTTCAGAGAAATATGGGCAGCCTTAAAAAATTGTAAGTAACCTTGTGTTCTGAGGTCAAATTGACAGTAAAGATAAAGACAGCTTCTTAAAACATCACTTGTTCTACATTGTCGTTTTCAGGAAGCTGTCCAGATATAAATAATTAATTTTCATCCAGTACTGATGGGAATAAGTCATCCTTTGCCTGAAGATTTAAGAGTTGAGGGAAATATATGCAGGGTGCTGGGAACTTTAAGCAGTTGTTTAGGGATCGGCTGTTTCAGTAACACACCTCTGCCTGAACTCTTATGGAACAAAAGCTTTTCAACTTTAAAGGTGAAAGACTGATGGTAATTTGGAAGAGATTTCTGTTGCTTCCTGTGCTGCAGTCAAAAAGTAACTGTTAAAATGCTGAAAATTTCGGAATGCTCAGAAGTGACTGGGCGATTTGAATTGTGTAGTAGAGAGCGTTTACAAAATTATAATCAATTATCACAAATTGTGTATAAAGTGGTCAGGAAATCGAAGATTTCTGGTTATGAAATTAAATTAAAACTTTTTCATACTTGAAGTTTTTTTCTGCACTGGCACTTCAGAGTGTGCTTTTGTTTTTAGCAGGCTCTTGTTCATGATACATGCAGAAGGAAAGCATGAAAGGAAAGGAATGATTCTTACATTTGCCGTCTTGAAAACCTGATGGGCTAGTGAGTGGAAGGGAGAAATGAACCTTGTGTGAACTGATGCACACAACTGTCTCAAGTGCTGAAATGTGAACTAGCTGAAGTAAAACTTCAGTATGTTTTATAGATTGAGAGTTTAATTTACCAAATCGCTTTCAGATCTACTTTGTAAAACTGAGAAAAGAGCTATATCTTGTATTTACTTAGATTAGTGTGTTTGAATCATGATGAATTACTCTCCTATTTAATAACAAAATTCAGGTCTTCAGTTCTTACAGGTATTGTAGGTGAGCCCACAGTGAGTTGTATTGTACTGCTGCAGCCTCTAACAGTCACAGTTTATCCAAGATTATTTGTTGCAGGGTGTGGACTCTAAATGTTATATATTTTAGATCCACTTTCAAAATCATTTATTTCCCTCATTTCAAATTGTACAGTTATCAGATTTTGTATGAAAATTCTCTCTTTGTTCATGATTTGCTTTGGTTTCCCCTCTTGTTGTGGAAGTAAATGAGTTTCCCATTTAAGTTTTGTTGTCTTCACCTTGAAAAATATATTTATATACTTGGCTAAGTGCAGTATTGGTGCTCCCAGATGTTTGTGTTCCATGAGACACTGCAAAACATTCCTGTGGCAGGGAAGGCTATTTAATACAGTAGCACTGACTGTAGCCTCGCATGCTGTTGAAGAAAAACCAATAGCAACAGTAGAAAGAAAACTTTTTCTGTTGTCATTTTCCCTAGGAAGATGTTGATATTCCCAGTAGGCGAGTTCTGATTACTGGTGCTACGGGACTTCTTGGCAGAGCTGTATTTAAAGAATTCAATCAAAATAATTGGAATGCAGTTGGCTGTGGATACAGGAGAGCTCAGCCCAGATTTGAACAGATTAATCTTCTGGACTCTATTGCAGTTCATGACATTATCCATGACTTTCAGGTAAGTTTCTGGAGTATGAAGTAGATGGATAGGGCATGTAATGTGGCTAGTAATCAGTTGACAGGGCTATGCTGGTACTGAGCTGATGTGGCTTGAGTGGGGCTAATGCTTTGGCAGAGCTCTGAAAAATTTATGGCTTCTTTTTCTGCCACGTCAGGAGTAGAGGTCTGCTCTGTAGATACAGATAGTTCTGAACTTTGCTGTCACCAGCATGATAGACTGCAGGTAGCAAATCCATGTGTCAGCACACTTGCATTGATAGTTAAAAGTAGAAGATAAATGTGAGTTATTGACATGGTAATATGAAACAGTTCTTCTGAAGTTGAATACTTGAATACAACAGCAGTAACTGTAAGTCTAGTGTGCAGTACGGTAAGAAGTCGACTGTTTTTTCAAGCTAACTTGCAAGAGGAATATGGGAAATCCATTATGCAGGATGCCATTCTACAAAATGGCTTTAAATATCTTGCTAATAGTCTGCATATGTCAAATAAGCCATGTGTAAATGGATTATCTAAAAAATAGTTCAGCTAATTTTGTTGTTAAGTACCATTATGTGTATGTGTGAGATATATTGTTATTGCAATTTATACTATTATACAGAGTTAAAAAACCACAACTTTGATCCTGCTGTAAAATCAAAACTACTTAAGATTATAATTGCAAAACTAATGATCAGTTTTTTGGTATCTTGAAGCAGTATGATTCTATTGTACTTCCTATGGAAAATATGCTCCTTAGAATGCCGTGATTACAAATAATACTACTACTTTTATTACTTCACGTAACTTAGTGTAATGCCTTTTTGCCTGAGGGAGTTCGTAGCTAGAGTTAGGGTGAAATTGCAATCTCTTGACAACGTTTGTTTAAAATTAGTCTTTAATTTCCAGCCTCATGTTATAGTGCATTGTGCTGCTGAGAGAAGGCCAGATGTTGTAGAAAGTCAACCAGATGCTGCTTCTCAGCTCAATGTGGCTGCTTCAGGGAACTTAGCAAAAGAGGCAGGTAAGGAGACCATCTAATGGATTTGGTTTCTTGTTAAAATACTGCATTTATTTATACAGGGACATAAATATGAGTAAGTTACTCAAAGTGCTGAATGTCATTTTTGCGATCAGTGTGCCGTCGGTCCGTTTTCTGTAAGGGAGCAGGCATGTCTGTGGGAAGGATCAGTGAGCAGGCAAAGCAGGAATGAGTGGGGCTAGGAGATGAGGTCTTTTGGAGATTTGTTTAAAGGTTTTATGGCATTTCAAGCAAGAGATGAATTAAAATATGTCTAAACAATTTCTTTCTAGCTGGAGTTGGAGCATTTCTGATCTATATCAGTACAGACTATGTATTTGATGGAACAAGCCCTCCTTATAAAGAGACTGATGTACCAAATCCCCTGAATTTATATGGTAAAACCAAACTGGAGGGTGAAAAGGCAGTCCTGGAAAATAACGAAGGTAAGAATACATTCTTAATAGAGGCTTTCTATTTTTGCTTAGTTGTATATTAGCTTAATGGGCTCATAAGTCAGTGGTAGAGTTGCAAAACCATGGAAACGAGATTTAGAAAAGAAGGTGATTAGCAATCTGTCTCCTTGCTCATAGAAGATTCCTGTTGCTTATAGGTTGACTGAAGCTTTTTTTCTGACTTGTTCCAATCTTAATTTGTGTTATTAGTCTCTGCTGATGGACACTCACAAGCCTTTGTCTACTATTCCTAAGGAAAGATCAAATACATCATCAATAAATTGTATTGACACAAGCGTTACCACACTTACTATACAGCTGCTGTTATTTAGAGGGATGCGTTGCAATTGTTCTAAATGTGTGTCTACTTAAAGGTAACAAGAGACTTGTGATTCAGTAAGAGTGCAGATAAAATCAACATAGGCTTTTGTTGTTACTCTCGGTTTTCTGGCTGATCTCATTTTGCTATCATTATATAAGCCATCAAGCCATCCATGTTATTTTTACCCACCTAGCTTACCACACGCATCAGATTATTCCTTGTAACACTTTCTAAAGGGTTAGTAACATATTTCTGGTTTTAAGCAACTGGTTTTTTTTTTTTCTTGATTATTTAAATAATTTCTTAATGAAAATTTGCATTCAAAATGTATAAAAATAATTTTTAAAGTTCTACTTAATAAGGGAAAAAAGCTTGGGAACTGAACATGTTCCCTTGCATTTAAAATTTGTGTAAAAGAGACATTTGGTTGTTTCTAGTTAGTATGCTGTCAGCTTCCATTCGCAGACTATAAGGAAAGAATCACTTCTATTTTCTCAAAGAATTTGAAGAGAATAATCTCAGTGCACTTGCAAAAGAGACTTCCAATATGTCAGCACTATACCAGCGCTGTGACTCTGTTCTGCTTAACCAGAGAACTGAACAATTGATATATTAGTGTGGTGGTCTTTCAGTAAGTAAATACGTACTATATTTGAATACGATAGGCCTTAATTAGATTTTCTAAAAAAATACTTTGATAGGAAAAGTCCTATTTAAGTAAGAATCAATTTAAATAAAATGTTATTCACTCCACCTCTTACTCAAATATCATCTCTGAATTTGACTGTGATGCTGTTTGCTCCCTCTTCTAGATTGGTAATGAAGATAAGAATGCACCAAATTCAAGTACGTGTGGGTACCTTGCTAGATCCTTCCCCCAACTCAGCACTTCAGTTGTTTCAGAACATTTTTGTGCACGATCTGTCAGGCAGTCGTGGGTTGCAGCGGTGGTATTATTAGCAGAAAGAAATTTGAGGTGGTGCTGAATAAGATGCTTGAAAATATCAATTCTGTTGTTTCATGCAAATATAAATATTTGACATCTCTTAGTCTTCCAACCACGAATTTGCTAATATTGTATAGGTAGAATACAGTCTATCAAGTGTCTGTAGTTACATGAAGAACTTCCCTATCGATTTCTGTTGTATAATGCAAGGATCTCCACTAATAAATTGGGGGTTTTGCCTTTTAAAAAAACCCCATGTTTACTTCGGTTAGGAGGGGATACAAGTTAGATGTAGTTAGTACTCATGCTTATAAAGCTAGAATGTTTCAGTAGGTTTTCAGAACCACTGGTAATGAAGCTGATGGTCTCTGAGTCTCAGATGGCTTTCTGAGAACAAAAGGAAGGCAGTCTTCTTCTCAAATAATATTTCTAAAGATATTAAAAGAGAGATATTTCAGCCAGTATTTAAAGAGAGGAAGAACGTATTTGCTGAGTGACCAAATAACTGTTTCCAGAGCAGCAGGAAATCAGTGTCATGTTGGGTTTTTTATTGTATTTGTTTTTCTTGTGCAAGTACTACTTTAGCTTTACTTATCCATGAGAATAATTTGTGTGTTAGCTTTTTGGTTTTGTCTTTCTAAGAGCTGTTAGCATTTTCCTACAAATCCTTAAGAATTGCAGTGATTTGGTATCTTCCACTTTAATTTTGAGATTGATTTTATTTTATTTTTTCTTTAAGCAAAAATACCTGTATTACTTTGCATGAATTTGTTATAGCCTTCTTGGATTTCCCCTCAAAGAGACCTTTTGAATCTTCATGACTGAGATAGATTAGTATGATATATTCCACTATAAAATATGTTTCTCTTTGCATTTGTTTACTGATAATGTCTCAGATCAGTATCTTGAAATCTAATACTGTTTACTACTGTATTCTGTGACCCTATATCTTATTTGTCAAGCCTTTTATTCATTCCAAGGTTCATGTCTTTTTTCTGGTAAATAATGTTCTCCTTTATGCAGGAGGCTTCTGCATGCTGGGCGTAAAATTTTGGTCGGTAATCAAGGCCTGATTACGGTGGTTTGTGGCTGGTGTGGATTTTTGTTCTTGCTCTTACCCAGGGAGGATGGGGAGTGCTGGAGTAACTGTGTAGTCCAGTTGATTTTATTAATTTTAAAATTTTTGTCTAACCCAAACAGGCATTCCTTTTTTCTCTTGTGGTGTTAATGAAAGCTTGTTAACTTTCTGGAAATCAATGGCATAAGTGAAAATAAGTTTATATAAACTTACTGTTTATGAACTTCTTAATCAATATAAATTAAAATTATATTCTGAGGGTAAACATATTAATTGCATTTTATTTGTGATTTATAGATCCTTAATATCACCAACATATTTCTAACACTTCCAAACCACTTTTCAGGTTATGCTACGGCATTAATAGTTATTCATAACAATGTTAATACTTCTAAAATATTATTTCTTTTAGGTGCTGCTGTACTTAGGATTCCTGTCTTATATGGAGAGGTAGAAAGACTGGAGGAAAGTGCTGTGACTGTTATGTTTGATAAAGTGCAGTTCAGTAATAAATCTGCCAACATGGATCACTGGCAACAAAGATTTCCTACCAATGTCAAGGATGTAGCAACTGTTTGCAGACAACTAGCGGAGAAGAGAATGCTGGTAAGAATTTAAAGCAGCAAGTCTCTTCGAGGCAAAACCAGCTCAGGTTCTTGGCTGTGTTTCTGAACAACTGAGAACTGCGCATGACCTGCATTCTTCTTTGCATTTCTGTCTGGGACACTGGGAGGGAGGAAAGAACTGGCTGTAACACTACAGCATGTTTACATAACTGTGTGTGGCTATTTTGATATTTGAAAAAGAAGTGAATGAAATGATGGGACAGATCCTTCTGAAAATTGTCATGTGTTTTGTAGGATAGAGGAGAGAAATGCAAATACCTAATTTATTCTAATATCCCTTTTATAAATTGCCATTTTGGACTTAAAAAAAACCCCCACGGTGGTTGAATGTAATTCTCAAGGATGTCCTTGTTTATTTCATTAAGAACATTGAAGTGGCAAAAACAAGTCACTGGACTTAAATACTTTAGTGTGTTTATTCACCACAGCATCTTCAGATTACCACCTTTGCAAGGTAACAAAACCAAACAACTTTATTTCTCATACATATAACCTGGAAAAAAATGGACCATGCACATACGGTGGACATGGTGCAATCAGTTTATTTGATAGGACTTACAGAGGTCTGCAGTTTAACATTCAGAATGTGTGTTTTTGAACGCATTTGTTTTCGAGTAAGTGAACAGTATAGAATAGCTGAGTTCCTCCTCCTATTTGACCTTGGTTGGTGGGTCCACTCCTTCTCCTCCTGTTAATTCTACAGAATATAAGCTGTGTGTGAAAAGGCAGGTCAGACGTATGTAACACCAGTTTTTAGTCTCAGTCCCTAGTCAGGTGTTCTCTGAAAATGCATGAGACATTTCTGGAACATCAGGGAGGTGCTGTAACATGCCTTTCACGATAGGATCTTGCTGGAATATTATTCTGCACAATTCTCACACAGGCATTACTCTGAGGGCAAGCTAGCTGCTTTTTTTTCACCTGTGTTTCCTGTTTTTTCTGTAGGACCCATCAGTGAAAGGAACATTTCACTGGTCTGGCAATGAACAGATGACTAAGTATGAAATGGCGTGTGCAATTGCAGATGCTTTCAACCTTCCCAGCAGCCACTTGAGACCAGTAAGTGATGTGGTGCGTGGCCTGTGGAAAGATGGATGTGCTTTATCGTTTCAAGCAGTAGGGCTCTCACTAGCTAAATAAGCTTCCTCTTCAGGGTGATCTGTGTGAGTATGTCCAGCACAGCAGATGTGTTGCTGAGGGTGCTGTCTGCTACCTAGCTCAGGAAGACAGAGGCTGCTTTGACCTGCTGAATTATAAAAACGACCCAGTCAGTCAGTAACCAGTTTTGCAGTCTGTACTGTAACGGTATTTCTGGAGAAGATTTCTCCTTAGTCACAAATAAATCCATATTTTTTGTTGTATTTTTGTCCTTAAAAAAGCTTACAGATTGACAGAATGTTAATTTGAAGGTAGGAATCTGTAAGAACTTTTCAATGTCCAGATTTATTTCTGAATACATGCACTTAAGAACTTCAAATCATTTTTGTTTTGCTTAGAACACCTGTCCTGCAGATTTACTGACTCTTAAAAGTAAGACTACTCCTAGACATACTAATAATGTTGTGAGAATATAACATGTATGTAAGATTTTATTTATATCCAAAAGAAATTCCAAGGATTCTAAATTCGTAAAGTCTGGAACTGAAATGTGGCTTGGAAAATGGAGAGAAAAAGGATGGAGAACACTAAGTTAGTATGAATTTTCTTCTGCCCAAATCTGTTTCTCTTCAAGTATATTGATTAAGACAATAGTTCTGTCAACATTTTAGAGCATTTTTTTACCTTGTGATTATAGTCAGAGTGAAAATGGTAATAAAACGTAGGAAAGCATAAATGGTGAACAGTTGAGAAAAATTTAACTTCACGTTGCTCTGCCTGACACGTCCTATGTTGAATGAAGTTAACCATAAAACAAACAAACAAATTAATAATCCCATACAAAACCCCACACACAAAATAATTGGAAGGGCAGAAGGGAATGTACTAATAATGAAAGCTATGAAGGAAGACTTCTAAATGAGCTTATGTAAAAATAAATTGATTTTTGTAATTTCTGATTACTTATTGGTGTGTTAGTGGTTTTCTCTGTTTATTTTTTAGATCACTGATTGTCCAGTTGTGGGTGCTCTTCGTCCGAGGAACGCTCAGCTGGACTGCTCCAAGTTGGAGATGCTGGGGATAGGCCAGAGAACGCCATTTCGAGCTGGGATCAAAGAATCACTTTGGCCTTTCCTTGTTGACAAGAGATGGAGACAGACAGTCTTCCATTAGTTTGTAACTTTTTTAGTAAAAGTATGGTATGTGGCACTTTTTTAAAAGAAAAAAATAGTTTTGTATGAGTGTTCTTAAATTGTGACATTTATGAGTTTTCATTTAATCAGGTAAACATACTGTCTTGCACTAGTGAAACTGTTAGCCTAAAACAAGTTCAGTGACAAAAACTGAGCCTATTTGATGTCATGGATCTGTCCTTCCATTCGTACCAGTCTAACTTAATGTCTATTCCTAGCAGATTATGGTTCTTAGTAATCAGTACCATTTGATGCTCAGAATGACTCAGATCACTTGTAGACTTACTTTTGGCTGAACGATGTTGTTGATGCTTAAGGTCTGTGCCATTGTTGTATATACCATTTCTTTTCATTAAAAGACATGATCAGTTACTTTATCACCAAAAATCGGAGTTTTTTGGTTTTGACTTTTGAAGGTGGTGTTCTTATGAAGTTAAACTGAAGTAGGAATTGTTAAATGTTTTGCTTGAGCTCTGATCAAAATGTTTTTTAAAAAAGTGAAACTTTATTTTTGCAATTATCAAGTGTACTTTTTATGCGTGAAATATTTTCAGAATGTTCTGTAACTTGAATGCCTGCAGCTTCATATTTGTACAGTAAGTTTTATGCATTCGTTTTAATGGTGACATAAAAGCTAGAAGGGGGTTGGGAGGGTGGGGAACAAATAGTTTTGACCTGGGTTTATTTTGGATGGGGGACTGAAGCTGGAGGTTTTGGGGGGGGGGGGTTGAGTATGTGTGGGTGTGCTTTTTTTTTTGTACAAAAGCATGAAGTATCTTAATCTTTCCCTCTTTTTTGGCCAGTATTTGGGATTGGTGAAATTAGTGGGAGGAAGAGATTTATCAGTCAATACATGTGAGATGGAGAGGAAAGCTATTTCAAGAATTGATAGCACTGTGGCTTCTTTTGCACAGACTGTCAGATCTTGCACTGATAGAGCTGTTCCGGAACAGCAAAGCGCGTATGTTGAAGGTTTGCACCCTAATAATGTAACCACAATAGTCTAATATAAGCAAATCTTTAATCTGCTTGAGTCTTGTCCTTATGGTTGGACTCCGTAGCCAGGTAAAGTGGAGGAACAACATGGTTTGTAAAAGTTAGCTTCCTTTTGAAGTTGTAGCATCAACAATATAAATGTTCTGAGATTGCCAGCAGGTTATTAGTGAAATTAGGAAAAGCGGCATTTGGATGATCATTTATTTTGGCATTTGAAATGAAGAGGGAGGGGTAGATCTTCAGCTTTTAATTGAAAAGAGGGGAAAAAAAACCAAGGGGGACACACACAAAAATAGACCAATTTAAGATCTTCTAAAGGTCAGCTTTACATTCAGTTCTTTCTTTTCCAACTGGCATATGCTAAGAGTTCATAATCCTGATTTGTTATTAGTCTGAAGTCCTGATATACACATGGTAACCTATTTCCAGAATGACAATAAATATATATTGCCAGCATGAGAAACGGTTGTTGATTCTTTATTTACCATCAGCATTTGTATGTCTGAATCATAAATATTTACAGTTCTTTCTGAAATCTGTGTGCCTTTTCAGTAATTCTCCCCCCCACACCCCGCTCCTTAATTCAGTGAACTATTTCCAGAGTTAGATCAGGCTGGATCAGTGTTTCTCTGTCAACGTGCTGCTGCCTTGGGGATGTGATAACTGTGGACACACAAAAAAGGTACAGAAGCTTTTGAAAATATGAGCCTGAAACGTCCTGGGCCTCAGTGCTTGATCAGGAAGAATCTAAGTACATCTTTTCCACTTACAGGCAACTAAGTTTGTATTAAATTTGACAACATATTTTTTAAAAAGTCACATTAAGTTTAAGAGTGATATGGAAAATTTGAGATGGTGGTGAAAGCCACGAGAAGAAAAAAATGTAAGGAACACTGATGTGGCCAGTAGACTTGCTGTTTCATTGTGTGGTTTGCCTTTTTTTTTTTTTTTTTTTTCTTCCATGGCATACAAAATTGGAAGTGACAGTATTATATTGAAATCAAATAACTAAATAATTCTCTAAGCGGTTCTCTCTTTATTTCATTTCCATTTTAAAACTGTGGCAAAGTACATTAATATTTGGAAGGCAGTATATGCCGTTCTGGATTTATTGCTGATTTTTGTTAAACTGTTCTCAAATTGTATGTTGCTAGATCCACAAAAATATGCGGATGCTACACAACTGACTAGGGCAGTATCCAGTTATTTTTCTTTTTTTTTTTTTTTTTTTTTTTCCCCCAAGCTGATGCAAAACTGTCTCTTCCACCTACAGGAAGTGCTCTAAATATCCATCCCCTTCGACTGCTATAAGCTCATTGCCACTGCATCCATTATTTTAAATGGAGCAGTTAATGAGGAAGGAGAAAGGATGACTTCTCTCCCACACATAAAGCACCTAGTAGGGATGAGTTGGGCATTTTACTGGAAGGAGAGAATTGCAATTTTGCATTTTTCTCACACAGAGCGAGTGAGTCCCAGTCTTAGTGCTCTAAACACTGAACTGTGAAATACAAGCATGTAATTTACCCCTCCACCTGCCCGGGTTTGTTCAGCAGGCCGGGGTCTGGTAAGACTGCTGCAGCTACGGCAGGTGCCGTGGGCTGGCAAACACCTACTTCACTTACCCGGCAGGGCTGAGGGATACTCTTGAAATCAAAAAAACCTGAGCTACAGGAGCAGAATTTTGGAACTTGTATCTTGAAAATGTGTCTGTAGTTTTCAAGGAAACTTAGGTGGCTGTTAATCACAGGGGTTTGTTGGGGTTTTTGTTGAGCACTGAAATATAGGAGTTAACTATACAAGTTTCAAAGTGGTTCTGATGCTTAAAAATGGGGTGGCTTAACACTGCTCACTCTTAAATTGGATTAATCTTTACATTTCATCATACATGGAACTTCCCAGGTTTAAAAAAAAAAAAAGAAAAGAAAAACATATATGGACTTTTTTTTTTTCTTAAGTTCTTTTACATTTGCAGAATCATTTTGTGTTTACTGAAATCTACAAGTGTTCAAACAGAAAGAGGTAGGTTGGGAACTCTTGCTTCCTAAGCAGCATTCCAGACATTTCTATATCAGGTGTTGGCAATATGATTTAGTTTATGTATGTGTTGCACCTTGTATATGTTGTTACCCAGCCCAATACTTATTTTTTCCACACTCAAAAAGAGGGAGAATACATTAATTTGTAAAAGAAGAGTCTGGAGCTAGTTAGAGTGAAGCACTGCAACTCTGGAGTAAGTTTCAAAGGATGACGATATGGCTGGGAGATAGAAAGACAACAAGAGATGTATCAAAAAAATGTGATTGTTGCATGCTCGAATAGTTGGATGACCAGAGATACAGAAAAATCAAACGTTAAGGTGATACGAGTTTGTCCACCTACTGCACCCCTTCCACATAAAGTTGTTTAGACGTACTTAAAGGCTGTGTTCAACAAAAACTGTATTCCCAGCGAGACTGCAGTCCAAGCAGCTTGTTAGTAGTGCTTTTAAAAGATGCTTTGGGTGCAGTTTTGACAATTCAAAATTTACTTTGAAGTGTAAGGAAAATCAACCTTAAAGGGTTTGAAGTCACACTGACTATAACTGGTTTAAATGGGTAGCTCCTTTCATTCATTAATTTTTACAGCATGGCTCAAAAGTATAACCTAGATTGAAGCTTCACTATGTTAATAGTTTTAACCAGGAGTTTTGGGGTAATTCTGTCTAAATTCTGGCAAAGTGATGATGAACATCAAGCTGTCATAATTAAATATGTGAGAAGTCCCAAGCTTAGATATTCAATCCTTTTGTCGAAATGTGTGTTAAGATCTGGATTCTGTTTGGATAAATATACACTTTATTTCAGTATGTTAATGATAAAATTTAGCAATCTATATTTATTTAGTAATGCGTTTTCCATTTTGCTCCATATGTAGTCTATAAAAAATAAATGCCAAACTCCATCTGGCTATCATTTCTTTTTTTTTTTTACTATTTTACTACCATAATGTGAAGGCTGTGACAGATTACAAAGGCAAAAAGCGAGTATGCTCTTTAATGTTGTGTCTGTTTGCTATATAGTTTTCCTACCATCAAAAATTGTTCTTAATGCTTAAAAGGTGAAAATCATAGCTTTTACATATTATAAGTTGCAAAATCAGTTAACACTCTATCTTCTTTGACATAAATATTTAAACAAAAATACAGAATCAGCAGTTTCTCTCACCTTTTTTGTACAAAGTCAAGAATAAGGAATCGTTACTTCAAGGGATCCAGTAGGAAATGAAAAATTACTTAACTCTGTAATTTCTGTGAAGTAAAGAGTACTGTTCAGTTATATCTTGTGAGAAGGGATCTGCCTTCTCATCATCCCCCCACCATAAAGCGTTGTAGAAGTTGCCCTGGAGAATACAGTCTCTGAGACACTTGCAACAGACAGACACCTTCCATGACATTTCCCTCCCCTGGATATAGATATCTGAGAGCACTACAGATACTGCAAGAGACAGCGGAACTAGTACTGTAATTTTCCAATCGCTTTTAAGCTATATCGCTGTTGAAAGAATCGGTCACACTCTTCCTTGTTCTTCTCTGGCTTTGTGTTTCTGGCTCCATGACTCTGTAGGTATTTCTGTTGGTCAGCAAGAGTCCAGGAATGGTTCAAGGTCAAAATCACTGTGATTGCATGAAACATAGTCTCTGTGTGCAGAGAAGAAAATGGCTTTTTTTTATAGATGCAGTGCCAGTTTCTGTGAGCTTAGTAATTGTGAAAGTATGGCAATATAGAGTCCTGCTTGAATTTCCATTCTAGGGTTATTTGATATTTATATTCATTTATTCATTGCTCCCTGTCAGCTAAGGGCATAAAGAAAGTCACTGGATTTAAAGTCTCATTTTCTGTTTAGACTGCAAAGATGCACTTCACTTTTTATCTTCCAGGCCTTCTTAAACCTGAAGGTTTTCATGAATTAAATAAAGTTTCTTATCCAGTCTCTTCTGATATATTTCAGATGATACAGGTTTGTCCCTAAACAGCATACAAGTAAAACAAAATTCAAGTTATAATTTTATAAATGTTTCAGTTTTTTTCTAGGTCTCTACTGTTGTTCTGGAGAAATACAGTATTGGAATTTTAAAAACGTAATACAACATATTTACTCCACTAAGAGAAATGTAACTTGTTGACTTAGTGTTGTGCCCTTTCTCTACCTTCTAAAGCTGATATTATTAGCATGGCTTTGTAGCAGTGATATCTTTTAATATCTTCGCACAGAGAAGTTTTATGTTGTTCTTCAAACAATGACAGAATTTTGTTAATACACTCAGTACTTTCTGTTTATTGCTGAACGGAGGCATTGCAAAAAGGTGGTCGCTGTAAACCTTCACAGAGTTGTCATTCTCTCCACTTGACTCAATTTTGCTGTTAAAAGTTTGTTGTAGATAATTAAAGTATGGATCAGTTTCAAAAATAGTATGCTTCTCGTAATTGATGAACTGAAAAGCCATCAGGGAAAGGTAGAGAGTTCTTATTAGACCAATGTTCTTGAAGCCGTGAAGCAATATCCACTACCAATTTCCTAGAAAGCTGGGCTCTGTGAGTTCAACAGAAACCTGACGTTTTTCAGGAGTGAGTCATTTGAGGAAATTTCCTGACTTTTGAGAAGCGCTAAGGTATAAGGAGCGTGCTTTCCAGTAGAAGCTCTGTAGAAGTGCCAGTGATGTAATCTCCAAGGACTCTGATGCACAGCTGGACTTTCATGTCCATCAGATTTACAGAACAGGTTCTTGCTGTTTGGGTTTTTTTTTGTTTGTTTTTTTCAAAAAAGAAGGTTTAAACTGCCTCCTTGCATTCCAAATTTCCAATTTGCTAATAAATTCCCAGTTTGCTAAGGATTTTGAAAACAACAACAACAAAAAAGTAAATATATGAACTGAACTTTCTGGATTGTGAAGTGCTAAATTCTCTTAAATTCCAAAATTTAGTATTTTCTTCATTAAACACTGACAGAAAAATAAAACTGATGTCATAGCTCTACATATCCACTCAGTTGTGGTACTTTGGGATTCATAGTTTATGGGGTAAAACTGAAACAGGGAAATCAGATGATACATGAAATCTTTTTGGGTAATGAGCCACATTTTTGCAAACGTAAAAATCTCTAGGAAAACATAATTCCAGTTCAAAACAGTATTTTCTCTCATTTCCTACTGTATGTTATAGAGTAGATTTCAAGTAAAACCAGGTTGACAGAAGTTGGTGGCATTTCTCATCACACAAAGAGAAATGTAAGTTACAAAATGTCAGGTTGGCATTTTTCCCATCTGCTGTCTGGAAGTGGATCTGGCCAAATGATCAATGCCCCTGTCAGTTCCATATTAAATTACTACAGCTGGAGGAAGGCAGAAGCAATCTGCACCAAGTGCTGCATCCCTGAGCAAAGGAGAGATGACATTCTGATACCCAGATCACTCCACTAGGCCGC